TTTTTTCGCAATTTTTCGCACCGTGCATAAAAATATCGCAAGATTTTTCCAACTCCGTCGCTGCGCTTTTGCCGACTCCTTCGCACAGTGCAAATCTACTCTTTCAAGTTTGCACTGTGCGAAAAACAGAGAAAATGCACGGTGCGAGCGACAAACAGAAAAAAAAACAGAATGCACGGTGCGTTCGTGATAAAAGGCGAAAAAATGTGTACGCACTTTATGAAAATTTAATAAAGAATTATTTAATTTTTTTTGACGAACAAAGAAGATGCGTGAAGAGTAAAAAGGGGAGATTTTAGTGGGATTTGCGGGAAACTTTGGTTGATATTTTTGTGATTCAGTCACGTTTTACAGGGGTTTTAGTGCAGGGCTTTGCAGCCTTCCTGGTGAAATAGTCATCTTATTTTTTTTTTTTTTTTTTTTGATTTTTGGCTTAAGAATAGACATAGTTTTTCGTAAGACTTTCGGCAAATTTTGCACACGCATTTGACATAGACCCCGTATCAATTCCTGAAAGTTTTAGCTCGCGCTTTACAGGCACAGCCGAGATATTCAGCTATATTTGCCTCCGAGAGAGTACGCTGAACGCGGAGAGCGGCCAGAGAAAAAAAAATACATTTTTTTGCCATATCTTTGCCAGTTTCATGTGGAAAAAAATGATTTTTTGTGGAGACATTACTCTCTACAGTAGAAATAGGTGATGAAACTTTTCATGGGAAAATTTGCAAAAAATTTTTTATATTTTGGCCAATTTTTTTCTAAAACTCTCGGTTTTTTCTTCAAATCGCGAGCTAGGAGGCTCGCGTATGTTCTAAAAATAATCTTTCTAAATTTACGCCAAGTTTCATCCAAATCCGAGCATCGTATGTTCAGCTCTTCCCCTCTCAACTTTACCTTTCATCTCACACCGAGTCCCGTATATATATTTTTTCAATATGTTTATTCGCTTGTTTCATGCATATCCATAATTCATTCATCCAAAGTGCAGAGCAATTTCTTTACGTTTTTTGCAAATAGAACTCATAAATCTCGGTTTCTTGTATCGCATGTCTAGAAGAAAGACCAGAGAAAAAAGAGCAAGGAACAGCAGGTAAATCTTGTTTTGAAAGTTGATTTGGAAAGAGAATTTGATAAGAGGGATTGGGTCCGAGTGTGGGGGGCTTTGAGCCGTTTTTGAGTTATTTTGGGATTTTTATTTTTGAAATTTTTTTTTGGTTTTTTAAAATTTTTATTTTTAATTTTTCAATAATTCGTATTTTACAGTATTTTCATAAAGCGCATGGGCATTTTTCACCGGCCGCAAAAACCCCATTTTGCACTGTGCATTTCACTTTTTGAGTAAATCTGAGTTTTTGCACAGTGCGGCGAAATATCGCTGGAATTGCACTGTGCATTTCACTTTTTTCGATTTTTGCACAGTGCGGAGAAATATCGCTGGAATTGCACAGTGCAAACGGCTTTTTTGATTTTTGCACAGTGCGGCGGAATATCGCTGAAATTCGCACAGTGCATTTCACTTTTTTCGGTTTTTGCACAGTGCGGCAAAGTATCGCTGGAATTGCACAGTGCATTTCACTTTTTTTGGGTTTTGCACGGTGCGACGAATTATCGCTGGAATTGCACTGTGCATTTCACTTTTTTCGGTTTTTGCACGGTGCGGCGAAAGATCGCTGGAGTTCGCACTGTGCAAACGGCTTTTTTGTTTTTTGCACGGTGCGAAAAGAGAATAATGCACTGCGCGTTGGCGACAAGGGCAGGAAAAGGTTCAAAATGCACTATGCGATAGAGAGCAAACGTCCATGCACTTTATGAACGTAAATTCGAGTGTAACACACTATCTCAAAGGTCTCAGTTCGCAATTTTAGGCCAAAATTGGGCTCCACACAACGAAAACCTTCGATAACGAGTGATTTTCCATTTTTTCTTGCCTGTTACGGCTCGTTGTACGGAATTTTTAATCGTATCTGAGCCTTTGACTGTATATTAATAATATGAATCATTGATTATATATGTTCTACTTTTTACACCCAAAACTTTTGACGGCTTCGCTCCAGAAAACTCTCCGCAAATTTCCGGCTCTTTTTCCCTGAGGCATTGAAACAAGAAACACATTTACGACGCTGGGAAGTAGTCAGTCATAAACAGTAAAAAAACTCATGCCGTTTCCGAGTCAAAAAGACAAAAGGAAATTAAAATTTGAGCTCAAAAAGTTCAAAAAAAGTAAAACTTTTTTTGCTCATATTTTTTTTAAATTTTGCACACACGTTAGGCATAGGCTACGTATGAATTTCCGAGAGTCTTAGCTCGCGCTTTGCAAGTGCCGATGAGATATTGAACGATTGGCCGAGAGAGTACGCGAAAAGCGGAGAGAAAAAAATTTTTTGGCCATATCTTTGCCAGTTTCATGTGGAAAAAGGTGATTTTTTGTGAAAACATTACTCTACAGTAGAAATAGGTAATGAAACTTTTCATGGGAAAATTTTCAAAAATTTTTTTATATTTTGGCCAATTTTTGATCTAAAAATCTCGGTTATTTCTTCAAATCGCAAGCTAGGAGTCTCGCATGTTTTCTAGAAAAAATATTCTAAATTTGCGCCAAGTTTTTCTCTCAGCGTCGCATTTGGGGTACTTTCCTTGTAAAAATGCACAGTGCGATTATGACCCGTTTTGGCGGGCAAAAATCGGAAAAAAATTGCCTTGCACAGTGCGTTTTGACCTAAAGAAATTTGCACAGTGCATATTTAACTTTTCTCCTTTCATCACACGATTCCCATTTTTCGCAGCGACGACTCATGTTTTCACTCTGCGACCGAATTTGAGACCAATTCTCAGGGCATTTTTCGTTGCATTGTACTTCCTTATTTTCGAATTTCTATTCCAAGCCATACACTCGAGTGTATTCTCTTCTTCTCATCCCCATTATCGTAACTTTTATTGTGCTTTTATGGGCACAATTTGCAACAAACAACATGTGCCAAAAATTGTTTTATAGCCTTGAAAATGATGCGATGGCCTCAAAATATTTATCGAGAAAATGATGACATTTTGTCATATCAAATTTGCTTCCTACAAACCACGTATCTTTCCGAAAATTACAGTAAAAAATTGCTTGTCAAGTAGCCATTGTCATGAATATTCATTCAAATCTTGCCATTTACACTCCTTCTCCCTGTAATTTGCATTTTCTCCAAATCCCCACGAATCCGTTTGAAGTATCGCCCCGAAATTCGCGCATTCTTTGTCCGCATTTCCGGCCACCGAAACGGCGGGGAGCACAGTGAAGAATGGGAGGGGGAGACGTCGAAACCGGCAATATTTTCCGGAGGGCCGGCGCTCATTTTCGGTGCCATTACTTTTCCGAGCAGTCGTTTTCCGGGGGCCCGCGCACCACTTACGACCCGCCGGCGGCGGGGGGTTTTATTTGCCCGCCGCAGACACGAAACGGAGGGCGAAAGAGCAGCGACTGATTAGACGTCCAATTGTGTGCACTTGCGGTGGGAGTCATGTTAATTGGAGTACTTTGGGGTTGCGGAATGAGATGCGGGAGGATTGAAACTGCATTTTAAGTGGAAATGCATCAAGACATGAGCTAAAAAAGTGTTTTTTTCAAAGTAAATCGATAAGAAGAGCATAAAAAGGAAGGTCAGAAAGATTGACCTAAAAATAAATAAAAATGCCCTCAGGGCAAGTTGGAATTTTGTGCTGAGAAATGTACATCTTCTAGCTTCTCTTCACACTACAACCTTGCAATTAACAAAGTATTATTTGCCTTAGCTACGATCGCAGAAAATCATGAAACGCTCTATTTGACCATATGTCAAATAAACGTCAAAATTAATGCGAAATCTCCTCAGGGCAAGAAAATTTTTTGACTCAATTTGAAGTTCAGGGTCTACTCTACACAGTGAAAAAAACATAACCACAGGGTTTCTGATGTCAAGTTGTCTGCAACGCAAAGAAATCTCTAGACGATCCTATTTTGAACACTCAAAAGATTGATCAAAAAATTGGCCAAGGCTTGGTCATGCTACAGCGGTATCTACTCTTACTCTACGCCCATTCCATAGGTGTTCAAGCAGAGGTCTCACTGATCAATTTAAATGCGCTACAAAGAAGTTATGAGCATCAGAATTGAACCTTGTCCACCGAAGAGAAGGACAATAAATCAAGGAAATCCCCTAAGGGCAGAGACATCCACAGCCCGTCATATTCTCGACGACGCTCTCCGGACTTCAGAAAACTAGTCACAACCCGGCTACCGACCTCGTTATGACCATAGTAACCTTTTGCATCAAGCCCATGAGGGATTGGGCAATAAATCAAGGAAATCCCCCAAGGGCAAGACCATAATTCTCTTGGAATTTTGCCAAAGCTGCTCTGCCGACTCCAGCAAACCAATCAGGACTCGGCTAGCCGCATCGTTATCACCTCCACCGCCACTCCATCCATCCCTAATGCCCGACCCGAACCCGGAGCGCCGGACGAAGCGAACGGCCACGGGCAATAAGTGCCCCTGCCCCCATCTTCATCGCCGAAAATGGAGGAGAAACGGCCCGTAGTGGGGCCCAAATGGGGGGAGCGCGCGGAGCCCCCGTCCGGGCGGGCTTCCAGTCATTTTGGTGCATTATATTCGGGGCCCCGAGGCGTCTTCTCTTCGGGGGCCTGCCTTCTGCGTCAATTATTAGTGCTCGGTCAGCTCGAAACACCAACAATTCCCCGACTTATCGACCTGCGCCGTCGCCGCTCTGCCCCTCCCTTTGTTCGGCTGTTTGTGGAGTCTACCGTCAACTCGACGTGCTTTTGCAAACAATTCCGGACCGGCTTCGAGCCCGAGGACTTGATTTTTTGACCGGATTTTGTTGTCAATTTGAGCTGTAAAGAAGCCCGAGCAATTACTCTTCTACCTAAAGATAATACTGAATATTGGTCGACTGTGTCCACTATATTTTCAACGACGCTGACCGACGCGCCCTTTTGGCACAGTCTGGACCCGCCGGCGAATGCATTTTCTCCGCAAGAAGAGCAGCCGTCGCCGCGGTCCCTGGTTCGATTTGCTCTTCGTCGCGAGGCCGGCAACGCCGCGTGGAAAGGTAGGGACTGTGGAAATGACTGTGAGAATTGGAGCGCTGAGGCCATCGGTGATCCAGCGTTATCCTTCTAGGTCATTTTTTGGCAGCAACTTTTATTTTAAATAACTTAGGACATCTCTATCAGTCTGTCGGGAAAATAACGAGCTCAATGTCGCTTCGGAAATCGCGTCGCTAAAGTTAAAAAAATGAGATTGCCAGAAGACCATTCATTTTCTCCGAAGCAATACGATTTTGGATGCGACAGAGGCCCATTATTTTCCCGACAGACTGATGCACCATACTCTACATGTTTTAACGCCAAGTTTTTCTGAATTTACAAAGTTTTTTAAACTTGTATACAAGCTTATTGGAAGTCAGTACTAAGTACTTTTTCAAGCAATGCTTGGGACACAAGAAAATTTTTTTACCATTTTCAAGTAGCACTAGCTGTTTTCCTTGTCATAACATAACCTCGAAGTCATCTTCTCAGCTTTAACTTTATCTTTACCGACTTTGTCGGAGATGTGGCAAGCTGTTGAACTGTTTTTGCTCATTTTCAAACCTTGTATAGAAATGTCTTCTTATCGTACTTGAAAAAATTTGCTTTTTTTACTATTTACTATACAAGACTCTTATTTTATGGCCAATTTGTGCAATCTTCATTTTGTTGACCTTCCTGACAACTTTCTTCTGCCAGTAGATTAGTAAGTCGACTGGTCGCAAACTTTCGTTTTCTCACAGTGCATGTTGCTGCAATCGCTACAGCAACTTTCCGGGCGGACTAGTATCCCTCATGGTCCCCCTAGCTAAGACCCACCTCGTATTTTGCATTCTCCACAGATCTTTGAACGTTATCAATAACACAGAAAAGGGTTTCAGGTCAAGAATTTCAGTCTGTCGGGGTAATAATGAGCACAATGTCGCTGCGCCGATCATGTTGCTGAAATAAAAAAAAATGATGTTGTCGCGAAGACAATTCATTTTCTCATCGATGCTGCGATTTTCGATACGACAGAGTGCTCATTATTCTCCGGACATGCTGATATTTCAAGACTTGAAAACCAACACCTCACCTTGTTCCTGTCCTATTCGTACCCAATTCGAAACCTTCTTCCTTGTACGAACTACACACCCTACCTGGCCTCCTCCCATTCATTCTTTCCCCGACAATGGGGCCGGTGGAAACGGAGAGACTTTCGCGGCATTCATTTAAAATTTCTTGGTTCTTTTCACTTTGCCCCAATGTTTTTTTTGCATATATACATCTCGAACAGTCCCCATAGTAACAGGCGAGCGCCTCGACACGCTCGAGGGTTGCAGCAATGCGGATGGTTATGTAAATCATTTGGGTTGAGAGGTTGTTCGAGTGGGACACGGAAGCGGGTTCGCCGCCGGAGGTTTCCCGACAATGATGACATAAGATTTTGCGGGGATCTAATGTAAATTGAGGTTGTTGTGGGCAACACAATGGGGTTTCGAGGCGGGTTTTGCATAATTTGGAGGAGCTTCAGACCGTTTTGAAATTTCAAGCCGTTAATTTTGCGCTAAAGTGCAAGTTTCTGACTTTGCGACGTTTTATATGATGAAAGGTGTTTATGGAGATATAGCGATAAATTTAGTCATATATTGATAGAAGACCCACATACACGAGCCTTACGCTAATTGCAACCAAATTTTTCGATACAGCGACATTTTATACGATAAAACGTGTTTTACGCAAAAAATCCCGTTTTGGCTATTTGAACCCAATTTTTACCCAGTATTAAAACACATCATATATACACCATAAAAAAGATAATAGTGCATTTCTTTTGTGCAGCGATATTTTATACGAAAAAAACTTTGTTCCCCCAAAAATACCCGCTTTTTATATTTTACTCCCTTTTTACACTCATTACGGGAATAATTTGGCCACATCAACTCCAAAAGCACACCTGTCCTGCGCCGCATAGACATTTTTGTACTCTCAAAATACCAGTCATACGCTTTTTCGGGCACAGAATCATTTAGTAACGGGTTTTTCGAATTTTAGAGACTAATTTTTTCGCCTGTCGCTTTCTCCAAATTATTGCTCATATATTGCTCATGTTTGTCCGTATCGTCGGCTAGATTTTCACTCCCCACAGATTCCTCGTTGCTCGACGAAGGCGACGGAGAGTTCCGGCTGGGATTTCACGGCCCTCTCGCCTTTTCCGCCACCCTCCTTCGCATCGTCCTTCTTCACAGCGGAAGTTCGCCGACTCCGAGCAGATTGGCGAAGATTTCTGGCGCGCAAAATGGTCGCTCACTGCTGGAAGGCGCGCAAATGGAAGCCAAGGCGTTGCTGAATCTGCCCGGCGGCTCGCGACATTCGTCGGTGGGAAGCAACTCGAGTCGGCCGCCTTCGTCGCTGCGGGCGGGCCTGCAGCGGAGCCCGGCCAGCTCGGTGTCGGGGTTGCGCAGAGCGCCGGAGGTAATGTTTGGGTGGGGTTTGGAGGGCTATGAAGTTAGTTTTGATAGAGCAAAAGGTCTTGTGTTTTTGGGCTATCCACAAAGCCGCTCGAGCGATTTCGGCGACATGCACTGTGCGAAAACATAAGCTCACTTGGCAACTGTGCAATTTCCGGCTTTTTGCACAGTGCAATAGGCTTTTTGGGCCGTCGCTTGAAGTCCTTTTGGCGACATGCACTGTGCAGAAAACTCAGGGTGCAAGCGACAGCCGAAAAAAGCATGTTGCACGGTGCAAAATGAACTCTTGTTTTCGCACAGTGCATGTCGCCGAAATCACTCCAGCGTAATTTTTGGCGACATGCACTGTGCAGAAAGCTCAGGGTGCGAGCGACAGCCCAAAAAATCCTATTGCACGGTGCAAAAAGCCGGAAATTGCACGGTGCAGAAAGAACTTTTGTTTTGGCACAGTGCATGCCGCCGAAGTCACTCCAGCGACTTTGTGGACGGACTAATATACAATATTCGCTACTCTAAATCTCCTTGAACTCATTTCTTTTATCTTGTCTTGCCCCAAAACTACTGTTCCCATCACTTCTTATCAGTCTGTCGAGAAAATAATGAGCACTCTGTCGCATCGAAAATTGCATCGCCAGAAAATGAATTGTCTTCGCGACAAAATAAAATTGCTTTTCACTTCACCGACTCGATCGGCACACCGACATTGTGCGTATTATTTTCCCGACAGATTCTTGACGTGAAACCGTTTTTTTTTCTCAAAATTTTGGAGTAATTCCATATTTCCGCGTAACACTCGTTTTTATACAATGTATACATAATCAGCGATCGTCGTTTTTCTGGAGGTTGGTGTGAATTCGGTTCTAATTATAGATTTGTAACCTTGTTTATGTCACGTATACCTCACGTAAAATTTGTGAGGTTTGGCTTGATGTCACCTGCTTGCTATAGAATTTTTACCAGTGTTTTCGCTAAGTCGCTGAAGTGATTTCAGCGACGTGCACTGTGGGAAAACCAAAGATCTCTTTGCACTGTGCTATTTCTTGCTTTTTGCACCGTGCAAGAGGCTTTTTTTGATCTGTCACTCCTTGACTTCTTCTGCACAGTGCGAACGCCGAAAATCGCTCCAGAGACTTTACCAACGTTCTAGTAGAGATTAAAGCTGTCAGGAAGGTCATCAAGGAGAAAATCTCACAAAAGTGACTGTCTTTCAATGAGAAGATCAAACTTTACAGTCAAAATAAGAAGACGGTTAATATATGTACATATTATAGGCATAGTAAGGCCTGAAAATTACGGACAAGACCGCTGAGTAACTGCTCGGAAGTGCAACCCCCAAAGAATCGCTCTATGGACTCTTTGAACTGACTGGTGGACGGGAAATCGAGATTTTCTTGGGGTATTTTTGTCTTGGCAGCAGCACTAGAATTTTATCACTCTGTCGGGAATATAATGTGAATTCTGTCGCATCGAAAAATTCTGCCGAGAAAATGAATTGTGTTGCGGCAAGATCAAATTTCTTTTCACATAAGCGACGCGATCGGCAGAACATATCACTATTTTCCCGACAAGGAAAAAATTAAATCAGGGCTTTCAAAGGCCTCTGCTTCGATTTTTTTGCCAAAAAATCGCGTTGAAACTGCTTGAGATGGCATGGGTGCCCCGTTCCGAATCCAGGATATTCCGCTCCATTAGTTATCCATCAGCTCCAGCTTATACCAGTCTTAGTTACCCGGCTCCGAATATAGGATATCCCGACCCATCTTACGGTCAGCCCGTTCCTACAGCATAAAAACCTATTTTCTCCAAGTAGAGCGCTCTTTTACCTTGTAAAACCTGATGCTTTTCTCCAAGTATCATTTGACCTCCGCTCAACTTCTCAATGACCTGTACACGTCCAATAAAACCTCAAATATCTCCCATCTCTTCAAGTCTTTCAACACGTACATCAAGAAACTCTCCTGCTCTTGATTACCCCCCTTCCAACACACTCCTCTTCTGGTCGTCTTTTCATCGCCCTGAGGGTCTTGATTAGACCCCCGTATAATGACTTTATTGTATGGAGAGCTTCGGCCCGGCGTCTAAATGTTAACATATGCCTCAAGGTGGGGTGGGTTTATGAGTGTGTTCTTCCGTTTCGCCTTTGATTTCATTCCATTACTGCCGGCGGGGATTTCGTCCCGCTTTCTTCGTCGGGATCGCTGCATGACAAGTCATAGTAAGGGGCTGCGGGTTGAGTTGGAGATAGGAAATGAGGTTTAAACTTGAGTAGAAGGTGATTCAAAGTCAAATATGGCCATTTTCATATAGATTTTTTTTCGCTTTTGAGATTTTTTAATGATTTTCTTATCATGTTTTGGTCAAATTTTTACCCAAATTTGAGCAGATATCAGTCTGTCAGAAAAATAATGTGGATTTTTCGTGGCTTAGAATCGCCTATCATCTTTTTGCGACGGCTCGCGCTTTGATAAAGCGAGACATTTTGCTGCGACAAATCCACATTATTTTCCCGACAGGCTGATATTTGCTCAAATTTGGTAAAAAATATGACTAAAAACTTGTCATGAGAACCTTTAGAAAATCTCAACTGATAGCGTGACATCTTGATTACAACTTCTTTGATACCCATTTTGGTGAAATTTCCTTTTTTGATATCGTTTTCAAAAAGCCTCAATTTTTTTTCAAACCTAGGCTAAACTTTCGTATTCAAAAATAAAGACAGTGGATGCTGGACGTATTTTAAAATTCTCTGCGTTTCAAATCAGCTCAGCCCTTTACTCTGATTTGTCATGCAAACAGGCCAGCCGATGGTCGGTTGGTCGAGAGCGGTGACGAGTTTTGTTCGCGAGCAAAGCCGCACCTTCGTACTGCCCGTCTTCCTCGACTTGGACTTGGAGCACTTTGCGCAACGGTCGACCTCAACACTTCAGGTTGTGAATTTTGTTTTTTTCGGCGTTGAAATTTAGTTATTAGTTCTCTTTGGCGTCCATAAAGCCGGTCCTCTTTCCTGTCAGTCTGTCGGGAAAATAATGAGCACAATATTGCCGGGTAGCCACCAAAATCAACAAAATTTGATTAATTTTCCCCACGGCGATGTGATTTTCGCTGCGACAGAGTGCTCGTTATTTTCCCGACAAAATATTGCTTCGAATTTGATGGCAATTTTACCCAAATTTCCTCGCTGTTTGGCACTTTTCCCTCTATCTACTTGCTGTTTATTTCATCAACAACAAAACTGTAGGCTATCGCTCCTAATGAGCTAATTTCCCGGGGATTCCAGCTCCTTTTTCGCCACTTGTATCCAATTTTTCGGCGTTTCCAAAATTGGCAACAACTCCGAAATTTCCACACACACAATTTTGGGGGGTCTTTAACCCATGATCATGGCGATTAATTATTCATGAGGAACGCGGATATGTGTTCTTCAATTGGCCGACTTATGATCTGCAAACGTCATTTGGAGTCGAAGAAACGGGCCGGGGCCAAAATTGGCCGTTCGAACGATGTTTGGAAATGATTATGGGTTAGACGGGGGTTTTATTAAAACGCAGAGTTCAAAGAAATCGGAGGCTATGGGGTTTTTTGGTAATTAGGGGTTTTATGCAAATTTTTGGGGAATATGCAAATTATGGGAATATGCGATTTTTTGGAATATGTGAAAATTTTACATAAATCTTTGAAAAAGATTAAAATTTTTGGGAAATATGCAAATTTTTGGAGTATATGCAAATTTTGGAATACATTCAAATTTGGTGAAATAAGCAAATTTTTGAAAATATGCAAATGTTTTACAACGGCTTAAATTAGAAAATTTTTAGGAATTTATGCAAATTTCGGGAATATTAAAATTTTTGGCCAATATGCAAATTTTGGAAACCTCAAAATTTTGAAACTTCTAGTCTCGCATATGAAGAAAATCAAACTTTATTTAAAATTTCCCTGACCTTTATGCAACACGCCCCAAGACGAAGCAATTTCTCAACAGTAGCCCAGATGCCATCATAACCTTTACGAAACAGCCATAAAAAATGTCTCGCAAATGTATTCGAAGGCCCCACAACCTAGGCAATTGCTACTCGGAGAAGACGCCGCTTTCCCGAGACCTAAAACAATTCGAAGAGCGGCGAGAGAAGGGGCGAAGAAGGGCAGCAGATATTGTTCCGAGCATTCAATTGGCCACACGAAACGCCGCTCAAAACATCTGCAAACCAAAACCCGTACGACTCCGCATTCCCTAAGGCGTTACATGCCGTCCGCGCCAACACACACGTTTGAGTTTTGACGCCCGGAACACCCACACGTTAAGATTATTGGAATTGGAATTCGTTGGGGTGTTTGAGGCGGCAAGCATTAAGGGAAGGTCTTACATTCGGAACCGAGACGCTAGCCAATTTCAGTCGTTCCGGCTGTAACATCGCCCTCCGCCGACTAGGTCCGGGAACCTACCAAAACCCCACTTAAATTCGCTACGTCTTGCCGCAAACGTCAGGGTTTTCAACACCCCAAACCCTAGCATTACCCATTACCTGTCCACCCTCATCGTGCCTTTTGTTTTGGCCGTTCGCCTCGAAGTCGTCGGGCAAGGCGGCCGCCACATCTTCGACGCCAAGTTCAAAACGGAGCCCGCATTAAGCCCGCCGGGCGCCCAATTAAGCCGGTTGTTCGGCCGCACCACCGCCCCAAGAAGAAGACGTCGGGGTTGGGCCGTGGGCCGCCGTTACCTGGCCCATTACCTCTCGTATGGCCGAAGATGGGCTACAGGAGCGGTTGAACGAGCTGCGCCGCGACCTCTGGGCCCAGCCGATCCTCGAGGAGGAGGATGATGAAGGGGATGAGGTGCAGGAAGAGGAGGAGGAGCCCCGCAACGACTCTTGCGTGCGCGGAGATGATAGCCGGAGTGTTAATGCCGACGGCGCCCCAGTACAGGGTCGAGCCCACAAACAGGTCGGGTTCGCGCCCCCATTGCCCACACTGGCGGCCCACAACCGCGTAACACTTCGCTATTCGACGAGTTTGGAGGACACGGAAGACCTCAACGATCGGCCCTCAACTGCAGACGCCACGAGTCGCTATAGAAATCCGGCGCCGTTCCCCAACGTAAGTGCGGAGCTTCAGCGGTTCGGGCCCACTGTTCGGGGCGAAATTTTCTTGCACCGTTGTCCAGTGTGCCCTCCTGTGCTAATAAGCGGCCGAATAATGGGATTTTTAATATACAGGCTGCTCGACCCGTCCCGCCCCACGGCCCCACCACCACCACCGCCCAAGCCACTCCACGGCCCCACCGCAACAAAGGAAACGGCGAGGGCGGCGGGCACGGAGTGGATGAGGAAGCGGACGACGAGGAGACTAGCCCGCTGCTAAGCAGCGACCCCCGGCACGGTATTCTGAAGCGGAGGACGTCCGGTCCGCAACCCCGCCATGTCATCCGACCCGTTCTGCAGCACGCCGTCTCGTTGGATCACGCCAAATGCGCCCCGATGAAGGTGGCGTCCACAATGCAAACGCCGAGCCCCTCGCTGCACCTGCTGTCGGCGCAGGGCTCGGTGCGCCGCAAGGCGCTGAAGAACAGCCGGCCGACGGTGTCGTTCGAGGAGACGACGCTCAGCGACCTGCAGCGCCAGAACCTGATCAAGCTGCGGAACAACATGCGGTCGTTGAACAGCGTGTCGTCGATCGACTCCAACATGTCGGCGGGCCGGAAGGCGTCGTTGTTTGTGCGACGCGTTTCCATGGCCATCCCGAGTCTGTCGGGCGACCCGGTTCCGCCAACTGTAAGCTACCGTCATCTAGGCTTGTATCCTTAATTTTATCAGTCTGTCGGGAAAATAATGAGCACTCTGTCGCATCGGAAATCGTATCGCAAAATAAATTGTGCGTAAACAAAATCAAATTGCTTTTCGCATCAGCGACGCGATTGCCGCAGCGACGCTCATTATTTTTCTGACAGGATAGTACATTTTCAAGCAATTCTTACATGTTTAAACTTGTTTTGAATGTATCCAAAATGTCAGACTCGCTAAAGCCTCTTTTCTATAGCCGTTTTTACCAATTCTTGTACTGTTTCCCCACGAGAAATGATCTCATTTGAACCCCGTCAAATTGTTATTGTCAAAGTCAAAGGACTTTAAATAGTCATATTCAGACAGTTGTCAAGGTCTTCTCAGGAATTCAACGGGTCTAAAACGCTCTGAAATATTCATACGGGCATTGGGAGGGCTTTGAATTTCTGATTCTGGAAAAAAATTTTTTGACTTTTTTTGAATTTCAAAGCTTTGATTTTTTGGTTTGAATTTAAATTTGCCGTTTTTTATTTGTAATGGGATTTTTTTGAGGGTTGGGGACTTGAAGGCCTTTATTTTATCTCTTGGTATGTTACAAGGTACAGTGAAACCTCTGTAAAATGAATCGCAAATAGCCAAAAAATGATTGTTATAGAAAGGATTCGTTTTATGGAAGCTCATTTTGGCCTAAAAAAGTGATTAATGTGCCCCATTTGATCTAAAAATCTTGGTAGTTTCTGCAAACCACAAGCTAATCATCTCGTACATGTCTTAGACAAGATTATTATAAGTTTGTCCCAAGTTTCTAAAAATCAGAGCCTCGCACTTGAAGCTTACCTTCTGGGCAGTTACCTGTAGTCTTGAAGTCTTCAAAATTCTTATCTTACCTGCAAAGTTATAGCTACCGGAAGCCTGGCACTTTACGGCCAGTTTTGTGAGATCTTTCCCTTCATGACTTTCCTGACAACTTTCTTCTACTAGTCTTTTAGTGAAGTCACTGGGGCGAGCTTAGGCGTCTTCACGGGGCAGAAAAAGTCATCTTATCTTGTGTGCAATATTTTACCGTTTTTCCACTGAAACATCATCATTTATATCCAATTTTGTCGGATCTTCTTCATGATGACCTTCGTGACAAATTTCTCCAACCTCAAGTCTATTTTCACACTTTGTAAACGCATTTGCAAACACAAGAACCCCAAACTGACGTCGGCGCTTACGTGAAGCCAGCCTCTTGTCAGCCGCGTGCCGTCAGCGGTGGCATGTTCACCGGCAATTTGAGGGGCATTCAAGTTTTATCGAGGCCCTCTGTTTTTTCGCCGCATATGAAATTAATTTTATGGTTTGGCGGTAATTTATGGCCCTGATTTGTGCGAATGGCGGGCAAAATTCACATAATAAGTCATGGACTTTATGTGGTTTGTCGGCGAGGACGGGAGATGGGGGAGATTGTTGGGTTCGGGGCCGGGCTTTATGAGATTGGCGTCGCTGGAGTATTGGGTCTTTATATGTACTTGGATGGTAATGTTTTTTTGATTTTTTGTTGGCTTTTTGCCCAGTTTTATATCCAAAATGCCTTATTTGGTTATTTTCATTAAGTGCGCAGAAAATTTTTGTTTTTTATTGCGAAAATTCAACTTTGAAAAAATGATGATTTTCGAGCAAATTACAGTAATCTCGATCGGTTTTAACGCCCAAAATTGCAGGATATACCTCCTAATGTTGTCTGAGATAAAAACTAATTGCAATATTCTCAAATTATAACGTATTTTACCTTATTTTCCGGAATATCCCAAAAAAATCTTTCGCTCCCACAAAATTCTTATTTTTTAAAAAATTACAGTAATCCTTCGGACTAAAATTACCGACACAACATCCTACAAGTATTTTCATAAAGTGCGTAGACATTTTTCCGCCTTTTATCGCAAGCGCACAGTGCATTTTGCCTTTCCCCCTTGTTTGTCGTTTGCACCGTGCATTTCTCTGTTTTTCGCACAGTGCAAAATTAAAAAAGTGGTTTGCACGGTGCAAAAACTTTCAAAAAAAATTGAAATTCACGGTGCAAATGGGTTTTTTTGCCAAGTAACGAAAAATCTAAAAGTCTACGCACTTTATGAAAATCTCCATACGTATTCATTACATCGGCACATTAGAGGTTGTAAAAACAAATTTATCAGTCTGTCGGGAAAATAATCAGCACTCTGTCGCGTCGAAAATCGCCGAGAAAATGAATTGTCTTTGCGACAAATTCAAATTTTTTTTCACTTCAGCGACATGATTGGCCTAGTAACAGAGTGCTCATTATTTTCCCGACAGACTGATAAAGTTCAACAGACCGCTTGACAGGCCTGTTACCGTACTTTTTCCGGCAAATTTATCCATTTTACCTCATCCGAAAACCCATTCATAGCCGAACACTCGTATTTCTGGGGCACCGCTGTAAACAAACAAACATATAAATTTCTCGAATTTCGACCATTTATTTAGCCTTTTTCGTTATGCAGTTGGCGTTGAGTGGGCATAAATTTGAACCCACGGAAGTCTTGCGTGTGGGTTCGGCTTCAGCGGCAAGACAAACCCGCCGGCTTCGCAGAGGCCGCATCGCAGCGTAGCGATGTCCAGTTAGCCGTAAACACTGTTTAATCAAAAAAAAATTTTCGGCTTTATTGCCTATTATGGAGTGTTTTCGACGCGTGAAGGTCAAAGAGACTAGCAAGGTGGGTGAAATCGGAAATGTAGCGATATTTGAGGTGTTTTTGGTCTAAATCTATAAGGTGTAATATTTTTTTTAAATACGAATGTCTGGTAAGGCATATAGCAGTCTGTCGGGAAAATAATGAGCATTTGGACGCATCGAAAATTGCATCGCCGCGGAGAAAATGAGTTTCGTCGCGGCAAAATCAATTTTCTTTTCACTTTAGCGACGCGATCTTCCCAGCGACTGTGTCCTCATTATTTTCCCGACAGACTTTTTTCTTTTTTCGCATAGTCAAAAAAATCTCCCTCAAAAGTAAAGTATCGGCCTTATAAGGGAAAAATGTAGGACTTGATTGCACTCGGACGTTAATAAGATAAGCGCGCGCTTCATTCTTCCTCTTTGTGTGCGAGGAGTTTTGCCACGGGCTTTATGGGGATTTTGAATGGAATGGCGGAAGAGGAAAGTTTCGAGACTTTATGGAACGTTGTAAATACATCAAAAGGATGACTTTGATAAAAAAAACTAAAAAAAAAAAGTTTTATTGAAGCTGAGAAAGTTTGAAGAGCTGTGGAGGTTCAGTGTACAGCATTACTCTGCACAGCAAATATCAGTCTGTCGGGAAAATAACGGCGGCTCCGGCTTCAGCAGCCGTCGCAACGCGATGATGGGCGATTCGACGATCCACCGTTATTTTCCCGACAGACCGATAAATGGCAAAACTCGGCGCAAAAAGTCCAAAGATCATTTATCGCGGCCCGAATCCTGTCGCACTCTGAAAAAATGATTTGTCGCTCCGAAAAATGGGAATCGCGCGCGACAAAAATCAAAAAAATACTAGTCGCGACATAAAGTCCGTAGAATTTTCTGCACTGTGCATAATCCCGAAAAAGCATTTTGCACTGTGCATTCACCCGAAAACACATTTTGCACTGTGCAATTTTGTTGATTTTGCCTTATTGTCGCGCGCGATTCCCGTTTTTCGCAGCGACAAATCAACATTTCGGAGCGCGACGGAATTTGGGGGCCGCGAAAAATTCTACGGACTTTATGTCGCGACTAGTAAAAATGCACTGTGCAAATGATGTTTTTGGGTCAAATGCACTGTGCAAAGCAATTTTTCGCGATTTTCTCAGCAACACGCCAAAACCGCACTGTGCAAATTCTCCGCACCAAACATCGCTCCGAAAAATGGAAATCGCGCGCGACAAAAATAAAAAAAATAAAAATGCACTGTGCAAAAAGTGTTTTTGAGTCAAATGCACAGTGCAAAGCAATTTTTCGTTTTCGCGCCAAAACGCGCTCCAAAACCGCTCTGCGCAAATTCTCAGGACCTTCTGCTCGCGGGCAGTATCTGTTTTTTGACAGATTCTTTTTTCGGCCATGTTCTTTGCTTCCGATTTTATCGGGGAGGCCGTTATGGCCAAAGTTCGCGGGGATTTGGAAGCGAGACAGTTTTCGGCCGTTAAAGACGACATTTTTAGTTGTTTTCGTATATTGACATAAGGCTATTGCAGTGAGATGGGCTTTGGCAAAAATCTATTTTTAAGATTTTTTTCTTTTTTTTGTCTTAGCGTCTCTCCTAGTTTTGCGTGCTCTCTAAAATTAATTGTTGAATTTCTCGGCTGTCGCTGCAAATCATGAACTAAAATTTTTAGTGAATAATTTGTGAGGTATGTGCAGTAAATTTGCGAAATTTGAAGAATTTTGGACATTTATAGTCAAGCGTATCCCCGAAAATTAAGTTTTTTTTTTGTTTTGTGAAGCTTTTTTAGCATTTTTTGAAGCGTATTAGAGTTGAGCCTTTGTATAACAAACCTAAAAATTTATTTGTTATATAAGGGTTTTGTTGAATGCAGTTTTATTTTTACCTAGAATTTAGTCTTGTTGCATCTGAAATTTTTTTGTTATACTGAGGTTTTGTTGTACGGAGATTTCTTTTTACCTTTTATCAGTCTGTCGGGAAAATAATGAGCACTCTGTCGCATCGAAAATCGCATCGCCAAAAAATGAATTTTCTTCGCAACAAAATCTTCAGCGACACAGTGACATTGAGCTAATTATATATTTTCCCGACAAAATAATGGGATAGTTTTGTTGTACAGAGTTTAATTTTGACTAAAAATTTACTCTATTTTTAAGCCAAACGACTCCCAGAATTACTGATCTGGAATCGTTTGAGAAGTTTTTTTGCCTCTTATCAGTCTGTCGGGAAAATAATGAGCGCTATGTCGCATCGAAAATCGCATGAGAATGATTTGTGCTGCGGCAAAATCAAATTGCTTTTCACTTCAGCGACACAACCGGCGCAGCGACATTGAGCTCATTATTTTCCCGACAAACTGATATCTTGAGTTCTCCATTTTTTTCCAATTTTCTTCTAAAATTCTAATTCCTCTTGCTCTTTTGATCTCTTTTTTCTCTTTGATCTCATTTTTTCGCAACCAAATTTCCGAACCCACTTCCCGGAATTCAGAATCCCCATCTCCTTGCAGGGCCCTCCATCTTCATGAAATTTGGAAACACGAATAGAAAAAAAAAACTTTTTCACCCGGCATTTTTGACCTTTTTTAACGCGCCTCCCCAAAGCCCTGCGGGGCCGACGGGAGTTGGGTCGTGTTTCACGGCGCTCTTCTCATCCTTTATATCATCCGTTTCCTTGTAATTTTTTCGTCCTTTACATCATCCGTTTCCTTGTATAATAATTTTTGTCAAAAGTCCAGAAATAGTTTTGGGCCGCTATTTTTGGGCCACAAAACTCGGTTGGGCCGCTATTTTGGGCAGGTGGTTTGAGTGGGTAAATTGGGGAGTGGAATTGAGGCGCATAATTAATGAGTTGGTGAGCATGTGCCATGGTGGAGTGGGCTTCACGGGGAAGGGGTATGCATAGAATTTGAAAAAAAAAAGTTTGTGAAACGGATCTTTGATTTATTTGATGAAATTTTTTTCGACAAAAAAACTGTATTATCAGTCTGTCGGGAAAATAATGAGCACAATGTCGCTAGGCTAATCGCATCGCTGAAGTAAAAAAAAACTTGATTTTGTCGCGACGCAATTCATTTTTTCTACGGCGATGCGACTTCCGATGCGACAGAGTGCTCATTATTTTCCCGACAGACTGATAAAAAGTGTGAGCAAGAATCTCCATACATCAAAATCTCTGTATAACGGGCATTCCAGCTGTCAACGGGTCAATTTTGGGCTAAAATACAAATTCGTACAACGAAGCCTTTCTATAACAAATGTATTTTTATGTTTGTTGTACAAAGATTTTTTAGAGTACTCTTTATTTTTCCGACAGGCTGATACTAGGCGGAAAGTCGTCAGGATGAAATCGGCGACATGCACTGTGCAAAAAAGAATTCTTTTTGCACTGTGCAATTTCTGTCGGAAAAAGTCCTGTTTTTGACGTCGTATTGAACCGGTTGACCAAAATTTTTTTCTAGAAGATGCCCGGATGTGTCTTCTTTCATATTCCAAAACGTCATCCCTATTTTTCTCCTGTAACTTTAGAACCAACCCATTTTCCTCCACCAACACCTACTACAATATCAAAAATTTCTTCTCTTGTCCCCGTTCGCATATTTTACCTGTTGACTTAAATTTTTTTCCAGAACATGCCCTGAGGTGTCTTCTCTCGTATTCCAAAACGTCAGCCCCATTTTTCTCCTGTAACTTCAGAAGCAACCCATTTTCCTCCGCCACCACCTACTAGAATATCAAAAATTTCTGCTCTCAAATTCTCGCCCTTTTTGATCTTGTACCCTAAGGCATTTGGCTCGAACCCAAGCCGGAATGTCCCCAGAATGTCCCCAGACAAAGTCACAGGGTAACTCTAATCTTCTTAGCCCCTCTAAGTCCGTCGAAAATCCCCTCTCGAGGTCGGCGGATTGCTACATTCCCATGTTCATGACGTCCCTTCTTTCCGCACTTGTGCTAGCGCAACATTTTGTGCGCGAACACTAAGCCAATTTGCCCCGCGAATGCACGCGTTTAACAGTCAATCAAAAGGAGAAGGGGGGAATTTTTCGCGCATTCCATGAAAAGCCTCGTGAGAGGTTTGGGCCGCCGCCCGCAGGCTATAAAGTTTTTTGGGGGAACTAAATGGACAGTGGTGGGTGCTGAGGGCTTTCATTTTATTGTAGGTAGAAGTTTTGACGATAAAATTTATGTTTGTTATGGAGAGTTTAGTCATCAAAAAATGGTATGTTATAGGTAAAATTGGTTCAAAAAAAGGCTAAAAAATGTACGGGGAGTAGACGAGACCTTCTTCTGCCACATAGATTTGATACACATACGTTGCGCCGTAGAAAAATAGAGATTTTAAACTTTTTTATATTATCCTAGACATTAACCCGACCAAAATTAAAGTTCTCACTTTTCCAATCCTCGAAGGCTATTTTTTGCTAATTTTTTGTTGTCAAAAGTCTGTACTGGGCTTTGGTATCACCTATATATGCGGTCAACTGTTTTACTACTTACTCATTTTATAAAATTTCCATTTTTCCCCCGAAATCTTGCTGAAAAATCAAAAAATCCTTAATCTTCACTGTAGCTTCCAGAAAACTCTTTTCTTCGTCCCTATTACCCTACTTTCCGTTCCATTTATACACATAGAACCCTTATTTTCCCTCTCATTTTTTGGTCGTGAGAATACGGAACGATCTCGGTTTTTTATGCCCGCACTGAATGGCTTCATTTTCAACAATGACAAAAAACAATACTCGGAACGTCTAGAACCTTTCTCACTCGCACTTTTATCGCTGATGAAGTGGGTTATGCGTTGTTTAGAAGGCTGAAAAAAATTTTTTTTCTAGGTTTTTGGCTTGCACCGTGCAAAATTTTTTATTTGGAAAATCTACACAGTGCGGTGGAAAAATGAGGTGGAAAATTTTTTGATGCTAAATTTTAAGGGAATTACAAGTATTTGCTACCCTCAAAAAAATTTTTTTTGGCTATGTAGTATATTTTTGGTTTTAACTTTTCGCACAGTGCAGATTTTATTGTTTGAAAAATCTGCACAGTGCGGTGAAAAAAGGGGTGGAAAAATTATTTGATCACAAAAATTAAAGGTTACTAGTATTTGCTTATCTCAAAAAATTTTTTTGCCGGCTATGTAGTATGAATTTTGGCTTTTAATTTTTTGCACAGTGCAGATTTTGTTTTCCGGAAAATCTGCACAGTGCGGGGAAGAAATGGGGTGAAAACTTCATAATGCTTGATTATACAGGTGCTACTAGTCTCTGCTAATCTAAAAAATGATTTTTGACGGCTGGTTAATAAGAAATTTGACCTTCAATTTTTTGCACAGTGCAGATTTGGTTTTTCGAAAAATCTGCACAGCTCGATGAGAAAATGGAGTGGAAGCTTTTTAATGCTGAATTTTAAAGGTTCAGTTGTATTTACTCACCTCAAAAAAAAACTTTTTGACTGCTGATTAATAAAAAATCAGACTTTTAATTTTTTGCACAGTGCAGATTTTGTTTTTCAAAAATTCCGCACAGTGCGAGTGCATTATTAAAAAAATCGTTTTATAATGAATTTGAAGAGTCTTCCAATATCTTAAAAAATGCATGAATTCACCTTCCATCTACTGGTACATGATAAATTTCACTTTTTATTTCCAGCACAGTGCATATTTTGTTTTTTAAAAAATTTTGCACAGTGCGGGAAAAAATCCAAAAATAAGGCCTATTTCACATTCACAAGCCGTAATTACCTTCAAATTTTTTTGGTCTGTCTACTGAACCTTTGCCAATTAACTTCCCTTCGTATCCCTAATCGTCACGTAGACCTTTTTCAAATGTCAACTTCGTCTGTTCGCGCCCCAACCTAATTTACATTTATAATTTATTTAGCGCCTGCTGATGTCTGAATTCCCGATTCTCTTGCGCTCGAAAATTTATGAACATTGTCGCGGCGAATGTGTGTGTCTTGAACTTTGTTTGAGTGCACTGTGCCGGAAAGGCTTTTTCGGGATTTTTCGAGTTGTTGAACAAACGAGACTGGTCTGAGAGTTGAACTGGTTGGTTTTTGAGGTCTTCAGGACTGCCTGGAGATAATTTATGGATGGATATATTATACTATGACAACAAAATGGTTTTTTGAAAAAAAATTTTTTTTTATTTTTTTTTTGGTTTTCTTGTGTAATATGAGTGAAAAATTGCCTCAAAATGTTTTTTATTGTCCTCAAGGCATTTAAAAAAATTTTTTTTTGCGATTTTAAAATTTTTTGAAATTTATATTTTTTTTTTCTAATTTTTAAGATTTTTTGAAAAAATTGGTCAAATTTAAAGAATATAGATCTTCAGAAGCCTCAATCATAAATTTTTGTCGACTTTTTTATCAAAATTTTTCCAAAAAATCCCGTTTTCCCCAAAAAATCATCAAAAAATCCATTTCCCTCCCTTCAAGACCCCCCCCTTTTAATTCCCTTCCACTCAATCTATCATATTTTTATGAACCTCCAAGTTCGCTCTCCTCCTTCATGACGCTGAGCCCTCGCCCTTTCCTTCAAGCACTTTCTTGGCCCGCAAAACTTGGGCCAAAAATGGGGGGAGCGCGCGAGAAATCCCCGGCAATGATTTATAATTCGGGGCCCGGAGGACGTCACTGCCGCTGCGAGGGAAATACATTAGACGCGAATATGAATATATTTAGGGCCGATGGGGTTGCAATTTTTCAGGATTTTCGGAATTATTGAGATTAATCGGGGAAATTTTGGGATTTTTGTGGAAAAATTTCGAAAAATGGGATTTTTGGGAATTAAAAAAAAATAAGAAAAAGTTTTTTTTTTAATTAAATATATTTTAAACATGCTTTCAACACCAACAAACTGCGTATTTTGAAAAAAAAAAATTTTTTCACTTTTTCAAAAAAAAATTTTTTTTTCTTTCCAAGAATTTATGTCTATTTTTTGAAAGCCCGGAGGCCAAAAAGCCGTATTTCTATAATTTCATTAGACGCCGAGTGGAATTCCGAGTGCCGCGCGTCAAATAATGAGAATTGAAACAGTTGAAGAGCGCCTAATTTTTTTGGGGTATTTTAGGAAATGCCCCGGGGCAATTGGTCCGGAATATCGTGTAGAATGTCTGCGGCGTCTTTTTAGACATTTTAGTTGTTGTCTTTGGCATGATTTTTACTTTAATTTTTTTGGGAAAATTGAAGAGATGTTGAGAATGAGGAAGAAATTTGATTTTTTATCATTTTCTCTCAAAATTGGGCAAGATCGCCTAAGGGCTTTTGTATTTTTAGGTTGCCTATGCTCTGTTCTTTCTTTTGATGTACAAAACATAATCAAGATTTGGCGTATTTTACCCTAAAATCCTCTTTTTTGTTGGTTTACCCATCAAGTCCTGTCTAAGCAAAAATTAATGCCCTACGGCAAAGTTGAAGAAATTATTTGTAAGATGACTTCTGAATAACGTAACACAGACCCCAGTAGACGCTCTGCACTTTACATCACATTTCTATTCTTGGTGCTACAATAGATATTAGCTTTTCTTTTCATCCCTCTACTTCAAGAACTCCGAACTACATTTCAGCTTCGTAAAACCCCCAAAATGTAGTTCCTAATCACAAGACCGGTCTCTCTCTCTCGTCCACCTTACACCCCGCATACAATTTCACATCATTCGCCGCCGCCCCTCGAGTACCGTAAATTGCTCTAATCCTCGGCTCTTGTTCAGTTGCCCTCCCCGCAAAAACAGGTCGCGCGGAAATGTGGCCGCCGAAGTAGGATGCCAGCGGCTGAAGGTGATGACGGTTGAACCGTGCGCCTCTTGCCCCAGTGTCGCGCCGAATCCACGAAAACGGTGGACAGTCGCGCCAAGATTCCGCGCATCGCGCGTGGAAAGGCCATGCATGTCTTTCAAAACGGGTCCGTCAACGTAAGTCCGCCACCAACGCGAAATGAGCTGGATTCGCGTGGTGGATGTTGAAAAAAGTTTTGGAAAAATGTTTAGTAGAGTCTATGCTTTGAATGGTAAAGCGGAAAAATGTATTTTACATGTATTTACACTCACGGTAATTTTGGGATTTTTTCGAATTTTTTGGAAATTTTGAAGTTTTTAACAAATTTTTTGTTTAGAAATAGAATTTTATCTTAGTGTATACAATATACAACAGTTCTAAGAAAAAAAATTTATCATTTTTACACTAAAAAAGCAAAAATTACATTTTGAAATTTTTTGATTTTTTCATCGTATAAAATGTCGCCATACGAAAAATTGATGCCAAACTAAAAAATATAGTATTATATCTCTACTAGAGTAAAAAATCCGCCGGAAAAATCTCAAAATTCTCAGTTATCCTGTCTTTTTTTCCGTCTCCTCTAGTCTAATGTCTAAATCAATACAATTTTTAGTAATATCCCAATTTTTAGGTATTATCGTTGGGTGCGGATGTACTGCCCGAGTACAAACTTCAACAGGCTCGAATACACCACTGCACAATTGTCCATTACTCTCCCTTCAAGGCGGTATGGGACTGGATCATATTGCTCCTGGTCATCTACACCGCCATCTTCACGCCCTACGTGGCCGTCTTCTTGCTCAAGGAAGTGAGTTGGGGGCTGTTTGATAATTTTTTTGGAGATTTTTTTTATTTTTTTAGGTTTTTAAAACTTTTGTTTTTTGCGCACAGTGCAGATTTTTCGTGTCTGCACAGTGCGGGGAAAAAATAAAAATTTTATTTTTGTTTCAAAACTCATTTTTAAAGCAAAAATTCATTTTTTCAAAAATTTATTTTTCACTGCACCGTGCAGAATTTTTATTTCTGCACAGTGCAGAAAAAAAATTTTTGCACAGTGCGGGGAAAAAATAGAAATTTTATTTTGGCTTCAAAACTCATTTTTTAAAGCAAAAATTCGTTTTTTCAAAAAGTTATTTTTCACATCATTATTTTTTGAGGCTTCAAGATTTATTTTTCTACACAAAAATTCATTTCTCCAATAAGTTATTTCTGACTTTTTGCACAGTGCGGACAAAAATTTTTTTTGCATGGTGCGTCAAAAAATCGAAATTATTGAAAAAATCGAAAATTCTGTCGGGAAAATAATGAGTACAATGCCGCTGTGCCAATCGTGTCGCTGAAGAGAAAAAAAAATTGTTTTTTTCCGCAACACAATTCATTTTTTGGCGATTTTTGATGCTAATGCTGGCGATTTCTGAGTGCTCATTATTTTCCCGACAGACTGATATTTAGACTTCAGAACTAGTTTTATCGGTAAAAAAATCGATTTTAATCAAATATGATTTTTTACAGCACTGTGCAAAATTTTGTTTTTTGCACAGTGCATCAATGTCATAAAAAAATTTGATTTTTTTTTTTTTTTTTTTGAAAAAAATGAAATTTTTTTCATTTTTAAGAGAATTTCTATATCTCCTACCTTCCAGAATCACAACCATCAAAAACGGGGCCGGTTCGAGAGCACGCTCGACCTGGCCGACCTCATTGTGGATATCATGTTCATCGTGGACATAATCATCAACTTCCGCACCACCTACGTCAACGAGAATGAGGAGGTGGTGTCGGATCCGCACAAGATCGCCAAACATTACTTCACCGGCTGGTTCCTCATCGACATGATCGCCGCCATCCCCTTTGATTTGTTGTTGGCGAGTAGTGATGAGGCGAATGTGAGTTATGCGATTTTTTATTTGTTGAGAATTTTAAGATTTTTAAAATTTGAAAATGGAATTTTTTGCAGAATTTTTGATTTCAAATTTGAAAAAATAAAAAAATGAAAAAAAAATATTTTCTTGTTTTTTTGGAATTTATTTTATTTTTTTTGTGAACTGAAAAATTTTAAAAATAAAAAAATCCAAAAAATTATTTATTTTTTTATTTTTCGTTTATGATGAATTCAATTTTAAAATATTAAAAAATTTTTGCACTCAAAACCCAAAAAAAAATTTCTAATCCAAAAAATCCCAAAATTGATAAATTTTTAAAGCCAAAAAAAATCCAAAAATTCCATTTTAACCCCAAAATCTCATCTTCAGACCACAAAAAAAAAATTCGAGCACAAAAAACCCCCAAAAAAAATTTTTAATTCAAAAAATCCCAAAAATAAAAAAAAAATAAAATTAATAAAATTTTTAAGCACAAAAATTCCAAAAATAAAATTTTTCACCCCGAAATATCATTTTCAGACAACCTCAAAAAACTGAATTCAAAAAATCCCAAAAATAAAAAATCAAAATAAATTTTTTTTTTTTTTTTTTTTTTTTTGAAAATTCCAAAAATCCCAAATTGACCCCGAAAAATCAAAAAAACAATTTTTTAAAATAAAAAAAAATAAAAAAACTTTATTTTTCGTTCTTTATGAATTCAACTTTAAAATATTAAAAACTTTTTGCGCTCAAAACCAAAAAAAATTTTTTTTAATCCAAAAAATCCCAAAATTGATAAATTTTTAAAGCCAAAAAATTCCAAAAATTCCATTTTAACCCCAAAATCTCATTTTCAGACCACTTCAAAAAATTCCAAAAAAATTTTTTTATTCAAAAAATCCCAAAAATAAAAAAAAAAGCAAAATAAAAATTTTTTTGGAACTAAAAATTCCAAAAATCCCAAAGTCACCCCGAAAAAGCCAAAATCCCATTTTCAGACCACAACTCTAATCGGCCTCCTAAAAGCGGCCCGTCTATTACGATTGGTCCGGGTTGCGCGCAAACTGGATCGATATTCGGAGTACGGCGCGGCCGTGTTGATGTTGCTCATGTCGACGTTCGCGCTGATCGCTCATTGGTTGGCGTGTATTTGGTACGCGATCGGGAGTCATGAGCTCCCGCACAAAGAGATCACGTGGCTTCATCAGCTTGGTAAGGACATGGACTTCGGCAGATGGCGTAATTTTTTTTTGCTTCTTCGCTTTCCTTATAGTGTTTTGTGAATTTTATGGTGATTTTTTGTGATTGGCTGGACTAAAATATTTTGCTTCAAAAAGGTTTTTTTCAAATGAAAAAGAAATTTTGCACAGTGCAAAATCATTTTTTTCAGCACGGTGCAAAAAAATTTCTATTGTATTTTAGCTGGTCTAGGAGATAAAAAAAAGTTTTAAAATGAGGTTTTAGGATAAAATACGGTCAGTTTAACCTTTTCCGGCTGAATTCTAAGACTTGTTTTTCCGGAAGTAGTCGAAATCTGAGAAGAATTATTTTTCGCACTGTGCAAAAATCATTTTTTCCGCACAGTGCAAAAATCATTTTTTTTTTGCACAGTGCAAAAAATTTTCGATCGTATTTTAGCGGATCTATGAGATAGAAAAAAGTCTCAAAATTAGTTTTTATGGTAAAATACGGTCAGTTTAACCTTTTCCGGCTGAATTCTAAGACTTGTTTTTCCGGAAGTAGTCGAAATCTGAGAAGAATTATTTTTCGCACTGTGCAAAAATCATTTTTTCCGCACAGTGCAAAAAATTTTCGATCGTATTTTAGCGGATGTAGGAGATAGAAAAAAGTTTGAAAATGAGTTTTTTGGGTAAAATACGGTCTATTAAACCCATAGCAATTTAAATGCCAAGAGTTTTTCTCTGGAAATAGTTGAAATCTGAAAAAAAATTCTTTCCGCACTGTGCGGGTAAAAATTTTTGCACAGTGCAAGGAAAATTTCGATCGTATTTTAGCTGGTACAGGAGACAAAGAAAAGCTTGAAAATGCGTTTTTCGGGTAAAATACGGCCAATTTCTTCATGTCTTTAAAATTTTTCCGCACAGTACAAAAAAATTTCGATCGTATTTTAGCGGATTTAGGAGATAGAAAAAAGTTCGAAAATGAGTTTTTAGGGTAAAATACGGTCTATTAAATCTTAGCAATTTAAATTTCAAAACTTTTTTTCTCAAAACAGTGGAAAATCCGAGATAATTACATGTATTTTTCGCACCGTGCGGAAAAAAAAATTTTGCACAGTGCAAAAAGTTTTGCTTGTTGTTTGCTTCTAAGGCTGTTCTTTGGGTATGTGAATAACCAAAAAAGTATTTCCATTTGCCTAAATTTTAAAAAAAATCCCATTTTCCCCAATATTCCCCCAAAAAGTTTCAAAAAATCCCAAAAAAAACTTTTTTAATTTCCAGCCCGCAACCTCAACGAACCGTACACCTCGAGCGGGAATGGCTCAATGCCAACAGGCGGTCCGTCGCTGCATTCGCGCTACGTGACATCCTTGTATTTCACGCTGTCGACCATCACTTCCATCGGCTTCGGAAATGTGTCCGCCACGACGGACGCCGAAAAAATCTTCACCATTGTGATGATGATTGTTGGATGTAAGTTCGGTTTATATTCTAAGATTACTTATTTTTCTCAATTTTGCAAAAAATTTTCAAAAAAAATCACCGCACCGTGCAAATTTTGAAAAATCTTTTTTTGCACGGTGCAGCAGAAAAAAAATTGAAATTTTTGACATCTCAAGAATTAGAATGCTCTAAAAATTTACTGTGCAAAATTTCTTAGTAAAATCTTGTATCTGCACCGTGCAAACCCAATAATTTTTCATTGCACAGTGCGGTTTAAAAAATTTATTTATTTTGCACGGTGCGGACAAGAAATCAAAAAATTTTAAACTCGGCCTAAAATTAACATGTTATTTTCACTTCATTACAGTATTTTAATTTTTCTACTTTGGGTTCAGCAAAGTGCAAAAACCGACATTTTTCGCTGCACTGTGCGGTTTTCTAAAAATTTTTCTTTTGCACAGTGCAAAGAGAGCGATATGAAAAATTTTTATGGCCTATATTTTCTACAGGCTTTGGACTTTTTTACCAACCTACTTTCATTCCCCTAGGCATTCGCTGAACTTTGCAATCGCCAAAATTTTTTTCGCTGCACTGTGCATTGCCAAAAAAAACCTTTTCGGAGTGCACAGTGCAGTGAAAAAACAAGTTTCAGTGACTGTGAAGAATGAGAAATAAAAAGTCTTGTTTCGCGGTTAAAAAAAATCTCATATCTCTATTTTTACAACCTCTGTTTTCAGCGTTAATGTACGCTTCGGTGTTCGGAAACGTCTCGGCGATCATCCAACGACTGTACAGCGGAACGGCGCGATATCACACCGAGTTGTCGCGGTTGCGCGAGTTCATCAGGTTTCACCAAGTGCCCAACCCCCTCAGGCAACGGTTAGAGGAGTACTTTCAACACGCCTGGTCCTACACCAATGGCATTGACATGAATACTGTGAGTTTTATCAAAATTAATATGGTGACTCCATAGACGTATTTTACAAAAAAAAATGCCAAACATTTTTTGGCATCTCAACGAATTTCTGCACAGTGCGAAAAAATGTTCTGCACGGTGCGAAAAAAAAAATTTCGATTTTTCAAATTTTTAGGTAAAAAAGCTTTGAAATTTTAAATTCACTCATTTACACTATCCGTATTTTACTCTATAAACCACTTTAGGAAACTTTTTTTATCTTAAAAAAAGCTTAAAATACGATCGGAATTTTTTTGTTTCTGCACGGTGCGAAAATTTTTTTCTCCATTTTTGGTATTTTTATGGAAAAAAGTTTGGGAATTTTAACTTCAAAAAAGTTGGATGACCATATCATTACTCCAAAAATCCTTTTTCAATAACTTTCTTTATCTGCCAGCTGGCTTAAAATGCGATTGGAAATTTTTTGCACTGTGCAGAAAAAATTTTCAATTTTTCAAATTTTTAGGTAAAAAATTTCGGGAATTTTAATTTGATTATGATAAACGAGCCGTATTTTACTCTAAAAACTGTTTTAAATAGCTTTTTTATCTTCCAAATCGCCTAAAATACGATTGAAAATTTTTTGCACTGTGCAGAAAAAATATTTTTGCACTGTGCGAAAAAAATATTTTCTCACTTTTTCAACTTTTTAGGTTAAAAAGCTTTTGAATTTTAAGTCCACTTTGTTAGACCAGCCGTATTTTACTCTACAAACTGTTTTGAATACCTTTTTCTATCTTCCAAACCGCTTAAAAAACGGTTGAAAATTTTTTGCACTGTGCAGAAAAAACAGTTTTGCACTGTGCGAAAAAAATCCCAAATTTCATGATCCCCCAAAAAATCCTTCCAAAATGACCACCTAAACATCAATTTTCAGGTGCTCAAAGGGTTTCCCGACTGTCTTCAAGCCGATATTTGTTTACATTTGCACCGGAATCTCCTCAATTCTTCGCCGGCCTTCAAAGATATTTCCCCCGGCTGTCTTCGGGCGCTCTCTTTGCGGTTTCGAACCACACATTCTCCGCCTGGTGATACTTTGGTCCATCGAGGCGACATTTTAACGGGATTATTTTTCATTGCCCGAGGGTCAGTGGAAATCGTGGACCAGCACGACCAAGTTGTTGGGATTTTAGGTTGGTTTGGGGGGATTTTTTTTTTTTTTTTTGAAGTTTTCTGAGGGATTTTCAATTTTCTTGAATTTGAATTTTTTTATTTTCAAAAAAAAATTTCTTTAATTTTCAAAATCTTTTTTTTTAATTTAAATTTTTTTTATTTTTCTCAAATCATCCAAATTCCATCCAATCCCCCCATTTCTTCCAGGAAAAGACGACGTGTTCGGCGAGAACCCGGTCTATTACGAGGACGTGGGCAAGGCCTCGTGTTCGGTTCGCGCCCTCACCTACTGCGACCTGCACAAGATCCTGCGCGACGACCTGCTCGACGTCCTCGAAATGTACCCCGAGTTCGCGCAGAGCTTCTGCGAGAAGCTGGTGATCACGCACAACCTGCGCGACGTCCGCATGAGCGGCAAAGAGGGCGGGTTTCGGAAGCGGATGCTGAGTCAGCGACACAAGCTGTTGCGCATGTCCTCCTCGCATCGCGAGAATCAGTGTGAGGACGTGCGCGCGTACAGCAGTCAGTTTCGGAATCTGGATGAGCCGCAGATGGTCAGCGAGGCGACCAATGTCCCGTCGCCGCAGAGCGAGAAAGGCGCAGGTGAGCATGGTGAATACAATTTTCGGTCGATTTTTGTGGTTCTTTTCTCAGTTTCGGATTGAATATAATTTATGGAGTATCTAAGCCCAATTTTCTCCCGATCTAGCGTAAAAAATGTCTAATTTTTAGGATTTTTTGATATAATTTATATTATAGTAGGTCACCTAAAATAAGGTTAGAATTTTTGATATTCCTACCAAGTAAGTGTTATATATGGATGCCTTGTGGACTGGAGTGTATTTTAAAATCAAAATCTATCGAAAATTTTATGAAATATTCGCTTTCTCCCTCTTTTTCCAAATTTCCCCAAATTTTTGATGATTTTTCGTATTTGCTAAACTTCAAGTCCTAATAAATGCGCTAGACATTTTTTTAAGTGTGTTTAGGCCCTTTAAAATATAGAGAAGTCATCTTAAATTCACCTTCCTACTAGGAAACCTCAGAAACTCGAAAATTGTTCAAAATGGGTGATGTTTAGGGATAAAATCACGATTTTCGTCAAATTTTCGTTCGGTTACTGTAGCATTGGAGTCTAATGGTGGCAGAATTTCCTTTTATTCCCTCTAGATTCGATATATCCCCTATATACCCCCTTATTTCCCCAAAATCATCAAAAATTTATATTACACTAGAGACCCCCCAAAAAACTCAACTCTTCTTTTATAAAATTTGTTAATAGTATACTAATTTCTTGTTTGCCCTCCTGATTTTGCCTGACCAATTTTAACCGGTTGCTTTTTATTTGAAGATAACACGTTGGATCGAGTGAAGCGGAGTTTGAATCAGATGAGTTTCGAGAATAATAACAACCCACACGGCGTGCGGAATAACAATGGTGAGTGCTCAATCTGTGCGGAATGTGATGTCGTCTGAGTTTTTGTACCCTGTCGACCTTGAAAACGTCATTTTCACGTGATTTTTGAAATTTTTCGACAGTTTTGATGTTGTACTTGACAAACTTCAACTTTTTTACTCATAACAAAGCAATGAGTCACTGTATTTTTTAACCTAGCAGTCCTTGTAGTTGTAACTAGTCTTTGTGGTCTCATGGCTATTTATTTTCTGTGTTTTTGAGCTACTAACGCTTGATTTATACCATTGATCGTCAATCTCTAATATAACATAAAAAATAGTGTAAAAGCACTACAAAACTGTTACTTTCAACGCTAAATTAACCGTTTTATAACCGTTTCTTGTCATTCCGAGTTTCCGATCAAAATTTACTCTTTGACATTTCGCTATCAATTTTTTGACGAAGTGTCACAAAATTATTGGAAATTTATTTCTTGCATTTTTATTGTTTGCAATACGTTTCGAAAAGTGTAAACCATTGAAATCACTATTATTTTACCCGTTTTCACTCTTTTTAGAGCTATTTTTTAACCAAAATTTCGATTTTTCCAAAAAATTTCAAATTTCAAATTTTTTTTTGTCAAAAAAGTCGTTTTTTTTGTTGCAAACTTTCTCTCCCTGCTTCTCTCACCCTCGCCTAACTTGTTTTACCTACCCTTTGCTGCAGGTCATCCCCCCATAACCCATCGAACTTCGGCGGATTCTCGGAGTTTCGGCGAGACTGAACCCCTTCTTTTAGTCGACGCCGATGTGGATTCCCGGCCTCAGAGTCTGCAGCTACGCCCGGATCGACCTCATCCCCGCTTGTCGCCGACTCCATCTAACGAAAAATGTAATTTTTTATTCGGTTTTGTTGTCGCTAACGCTTTCATAATGTTTTTTCCTTCTTTTTGCTGGATTGTGTAACTTTTCGCAATTTTTTGGGTACTAATGGGGAAACTAACAAGTGTTTGAGTGTCTAAAATTGTAATAGGGACCTTTACCGAGCTTTTGAGACGGTTTCTTTAAACTTTGTAGTTAATTTACGAGGAAAAATCGAGTTTTGGACATCTGATGTCATGAGCAATATAATTTTATGTTTTTTAGGCCAACGAATCCGTCGGTTTTACTTTTTGTGGATTCTAGGAGTGTTAAAACTTATTTTAAGCCATTTGCAAATTATTTTCCGAGTTATTTTTGCTTATTTTTAGGCCTATCTTATACTAGACATGTGATATACAGTGATTGCCAAATTTCTAGGCCTTTCTCCATAAATAAAATGTCTTGTTCCCCTCCAAAATACTCCTCATATTCTTCTTTTTCCAGGGCAACCTCGAGCGGTCACTTTTGCAAAAGAAAATGAGGAGAATCGATACAATTTCCTCAGCCAGAGGTTGGATAACATCGAAGGGTGAGAAAAAATTTTCCATTGAACTGATTAACCTGAATTTTCGTTTTTAGGCATCTCTCGCAAATGCAGAACAAGATGAACACCGATTTCGAGGAGATCATTCGATTACTCAGGTTGTCCGGAGCTCTGAGCACGGCCGCTAGCAGTAGTAGTAAGTATAATATTTTTATTCGTTTTTGCTTGAAATTTAGGATTGCCTGTAACAGTAAAGAAGCTTGAGGACATTTGCCGTCTTTTTAGACCATTTTAGTTGGAATTGATAGAAAATTAGCTGGCTTAGACATCAAAAATATTATTTTAGGTAACATTTTAAAACTTTTGGATTTGAACTGTAAATTCTTTGATCCAGCGGAATTTTGATATAATTCTAGAGGTATTTAAGTCCTTTTCAAAGCACTATTCCTCATAAGAACTTTTTTTGAGATTAAAATTATTACTTTAGTCTAAATTTTGATTTATAATGTTTTAAATGCAAAATACGTCCAAAAATCTGACATTTTTAGCCGGAAGCTCTCATCTGAATGCGTTAACAATCGATTTGAACGAGAGAAGTGGAGCCACTTCTTCGATGTCCGGTCCAACCTCCAGAAATGGTGATCTCGAACAAAACTCGACCTCTAGAACGCCGAACACAGTGAAAGTTGGGAACTGTACACAGGTAAGGGCTTTGGAGATTATTTGTTTTGACTTTTAGGAAGAAAAAGGATTGGGGTTTCGTCTGGCCGGTCTCCTCTTTTTGAATATTCTCTCGAAAAAAATGTTGTTGAAAATCTTGGCGGAGATAGAGCAGTAAAATCTTTTTTGTGGTTGATTTGAGGGCATTTTGAAGACCTTTGCAAATTTTGGTGGAAAATGGAAAGAAATTTTTTCGGGTTTTTTCGGTCATGCCTAGTGTAATATAAATTTTGGGTTTGGAAATGGTCTAGTAGTTTCAACACTGGCGGACCTGATCCAGGGGCAAAAAACGTACTATTTTGCATCTGGGAAGTATCACAAATATGGCAAAATACCTCCTCCAACTGAAAAGCTCAGGTTTCAAAAGCGCGCCCGTTCTTTTTGTGAAGGAACTTTCAAACCGGAGTTTTTAGTTGGAAAGAGAGGTATTTTGCTGCATTTTTGATACTTCCCGGATGCAAAATGGTGCGTTTTTTGTCACTCGATCAGGTCCGCCACTTTGGCAACTGCTCTATCTCCTTACAGCCAAGATTTTCAGTAATATTTTTTTTCGAGAGACCATACAAAAAATGGGAGTTGGACGATTGGGGAAACCAAAAAGTATTATTTTTCTTCGATGCAAATGTCGAAATCGACCTTGCTGAAGTCGAAAATCTTGTTAATTTTTTTTATTTTGAAAGCTGCACCATCGAAAACCCGTAAATCGAGTATTTATGAAAAAAAATCAAAAAATTACTACTTTACAGTACTACTTAAGGAAAAAAGTAAAGATCAAAAAAATAAATCACTTTCGAAAACAGCACCTTAGATTATCCTAACTTCGACACTTGCATCGAAGAAAAGTAATACTTTTCGGTTTCTCCAATCGTCCCACGTCAATCCAAATAGAAGAAGAAATTTCCCGCCCCTTTTTGGTGATTCGTTCAAAACGAAATGTCACTATCCGATAAAAAGCATTTTCTTATCTTTTTGCTTCCTTTTCGAGAAAAAGCAATTATTTCGGGCGAGAAAAAGTGCCGATAATTTCGCGACATTTCGTCTCTCTTTTAAATCAATGAAAACGATACGAAGTTTCGAAACGGTTCAGGAAATGCGCTGGATTGACATGCGTCCCAGTTCCACAAAAAATTGATTTTTCCACTCTTACAACGGCTTCTTTTCAGCGTCCCAACACCCTTGCGCCCGCTCCCAGCGAGGAGCGACTCCCGCTTCTGCCCGAGACCTCGCTGTCTCCGCCCGACATCAACCCCAAGTTCATGCCGATGAGCGTGCTGCCCAGCGAGCTGAGTCCGGCGGGGTCGGCGGGCGAGCGCCGCTCCCTGTACCGCTCCGCATCCCGCGAGCCCACGCAGAGCTCCGACCCCGACGCCGTGTGCGCCCTGGCCTCACCCGACGACGACACATCCCTCTGACCAACCAACCTAACCTTATTTCCTTGTTGACTGTTGCTCCACACACACACTGTCCCTCCCCCCCACCCGATGTAAATACGAACGACGGTGATCCGAAAGGTTGTTTTGTAGAATAGTTTAGTGGGTCGGTACTTTTGGAAATCCTCTGTTTCTCTCGTCTCTTTCACTCGAGTTTTGAAGGGTTTGGGGGAAGTTTTTTTTCGGGAATTTTTTCACTCGTATTTCACAAAGAAAGCTTTGATTTTGAAAGCTTGTTTAGAAGACCTTAGTCTATGGCCATGCCAAATTTTGGAAAAAAATACCGGATTTTTCTTGGAAAAAATTGAAATTTTTGAAAGTGTCTTAAAATTGAAATTTTGAACGCGTATTTTACTGGAATTTGCTAGGAAAAGGTGTAATTTTCTTTGTGAATTAGCATAGATAGGATTATCGTGTACTACGGCACGAAATTTTGTCGAAAAATACCGATTTTTTTATTGGAAATTTTTGGTAGTAACTTCAATTTTTTATGGCTAAAAAGGCCGTATTTTACGACAAAAAATTAAATTTTTATTTTTGATTATTACAGGTGGTACCTTACTCTATCACCATGCCAAATTTGATGTAAAACTGCTGATTTTTTTCTTGGAAAATTTCGGGATTTTTTGAAAATTACGAAAATTTTTCAAAAAATAGTCAATATTTTTTCATAAAAAATCAAAATTTTAGCCATTTTGGCCGGTTACAAAAAATTGTGAAGGCTGAAATACGGTCTCTAGAATGACGTCAGACAAATGTCGGACAAAATCGAGCGATATTTCCACAAAAAATTTCCCCCCGAAATCCTCAAACCCCAAAAAATTCTCGTGCCAAAACTGCAAATGTCACTGTATTTACGAAACCCCCGAGATTGTTTTCAATATTTTTCAATATTCTACTCTACATTTTGGACTGTTTTCACAAATAATACGGGTCTTCACCTCACATTTTTTTCTTCAAATTTCCTCCCTTTTTTCGGTCCGCGCACTCGGAAAATGGATGAATTGGTTAATAAAGTTTATGAAATCTCAATGGAATGGACTTGGAATTGCATTTTTTTGTTTAATAGAGCATTGTCAAGATCTGGAAAGTAGAAATGACCTAATTTTGGGTGATTTTTAAAACCAAAAATTTTTAAAATTTTCAAAAAATTTCGATTTTTTAGCATACCCTGAAATGTTTGGATGTCCTCAAAATTTCGCATACACACTCTGCACACACCATAAATCAATCACTGAAAATTTCAGCTGGATATTTGCAATGGCAGCTCAGATATTCGGCGATCTTTTTTTTCGAGATACCACGGAAAATGAGGAGATCGGCCAGACAAAGAAAAGTCCTAAATGCGATGTCGGATTTTGCTGAAACTTGGCACAAATTTAGAATAATTTTTTAAAAGATATATGCGAGACTGCTAGCTCGCGCTTTGCAGAAACGACCAAGATTTTTAAGTCGAAAGATGGAAAAAATGCCACTTTTTCGCGAATTTTGGAATGAAAATTTCCATGCCTAGTTCTACCGTAGTGTGTAGTGTTTCCACAAAAAATCAATTTTTTTCGCACGAAACTGGCAAAGTTAGGGCCAAAAAGTGTTTTCCTCTCTGACCACCCTCCACTTTTGCGTACTCTCTCGGCTGCAAAGATGGTTCAATATTTGGCCTTACTATGCTTGTAAGATCACTTGTGCCGCCTATAGAACCATTTTAGGCCCCCAAAACGAAATTTGAATGCTCAAATTGTAGTGTGACAAGTTATACGATGGATTTTTTATATTTGATTTGTTGTTTGTTGAGTTATAAAATGGAAAATTAAAAGATTTTATGAGACTTTATGAACTAAAAATCTTGATGATTTATGCAAATTATGTGATCAATGTGTCGGAAAATTCAATTTAAAATTAAAACGTCATTAAACAGAAATTTCAAAAATTCAAAAAAAAAATGTAAAAAAATCGGCTTGAAACTCTTGATTATCACCTCTAATTTTCTCTGCAATCCCCGTAAATTAATTCTATTTTTCGTCCCGCCCCTTTTATTACGCAAATTTCTGCTCTAAATCAAAGAAAAATTTGCCGAAAATCAGCGAATTTCTGCGCTTCCCCAAAAAATTCTGCAATAATTCCGGCTATATATAAGAGCTGGTCTTATTCATCCATCAATCAGCTTTGATCAAGCGATTTGGTTTTATCTCGACCTCTATTTGGACTCGATTTCGACCTTATTTCCAACTTTGAACATGTCCGCCTTCACCTTTGTTTGCCCTCCCATGAACTCGCTCGATGTGTGGGAATACTCGTTGAGGCCCGCTCAGGACTCGTCTGAATCTGATTCGGGAGTAGCGAGTGGTGATGTGACGTCCGAGAGCTCTAGAGCCAGCTCGCCAGTTTCCGTCAACAGCGAAGAGGATTTCATGGACGAAATCTTGAAGTCCTGTGTCAATATGGCCATGGAGAGCCCGAAAAAAGGAGAGAACAAGGTGAGCAGAGAGTTTAGTTTTATTTTATGTTCGATATTTTTATAATTTTTGCGAGTTTTTGGCACTTTTTGGGTTCACTTTATATTATACTAGGTCATCAGATAAATTTTTTCATTTTTTCTAATTTTTTCTTTGTAAAGTTATATTTTTGACATACTCAGAGTATTTTAGAGGTTTTACCTTTATCTCAAAAATTATTTGCCCCAAAATTTCTAGGATTTTATGAAATTTTAAAAATTTTTCCCGCACAGTGCATTTTTTGAATTTTTGGCACAGTGCAGTCATTTGTTGGTAAAATTAATGTTGGAAAATGTCGGAAGCTACTATTTAATGTGCTTTTTAGAATATAAATAGCCTAAAGCTGCTTTATAATTTTTAATTATTTTTGAGATTTTTAAAATTTTGATGACCTAAGATAATATAAATATTTTTTGAAGAATTTTCAAAATTTTTATGGCATTAAAGTATAGATAAGGTGTTGATAGATTGATTTAGGATAAAATTACATATTGATCTTCTAAAAAATCTTGAAATTTTAAGGAAATTAAAAAAAAAACTAAATTTTTTGATTTTTAAAAATTTTCATTTTTTTCATTTCTAAAAATATGTTTTTTCAGGTCCAACCTTCCCCAATCTTCTCTCAGAACCCCCTCTACTCTCGTCCACCTCCATCCTTCCCCTATCAACCGGTCAACTTCACCAACATTCCTCCGCCGAACGTCAAGACCGTGATCCCGCTGCTGAACGGCGGCTTCTTCCCGATGGCTCCGAATGAGCCGGTGTGGCCCAACTTCACTCTTCGGCCCAACAAACGAGAGGACGCGGCACTCCGAGAGCGCATTCGCTGCGGACAGCTCAAGTTGAAGCGGCTCTATCGCAACTACAAGACCACCATGTGCAACTCGTTCGAGAAGGATGGAACCTGTCCGAGGGGAGAGAAGTGTGCGTTCGCTCATGGAGAGAATGAATTGAGGAGTCCGAGAATCTTGGTGAGTTAGTTTTTTAAGGTTTTAGAAGCATTTTAGGTATGTTTTCATCAAAAATTACCTTATTTTAGAGATTTTTTTCAAAAAAGTCTCAAAAATTTTCAAATTTCGAGGAAAAAATCAATTTTTTCTTTTATGAAATTTACTGTAATACTATTTAAAAACTAATTTCATACTTTTTAAATATCAATTTCACCATTTTTCGACGAAAATTCATCTTACTTTAGTCATCACATCAGGTCAAAAAAAAATTCAAAAAACTTTCAAATTTGGAGAAAAAAATCAATTTTTTCTTTTATGAAATTTACTATAATACTATTTAAAAGCTAATTTCATACTTTTTAAATATCAATTTCACCATTTTTCGACAAAAATTCACTTTATTTTAGTCATCATTTGTTAAAAAAACCCTCAAAAACTCAAATTTCGAGTAAAAAATCAATTTTTTCTTTTATGGAATTTACTGTAATACTATTTAAAAACTAATTTCATACTTTTTTAATATCAATTTCACAATTTTTCGACAAAAATTCACCTTACCTTAGTCATCACTCTAGTCAAAAAAAAATCTCGAAAACTTTCAAATTTCGAGGAAAAAATCAATTTTTTCTTTTATGAAATTTACTATAATACTATTTAAAAGCTAATTTCATACTTTTTAAATATCAATTTCACCATTTTTCGACAAAAATTCACTTTATTTTAGTCATCATTTGTTAAAAAAACCCTCAAAAACTCAAATTTCGAGTAAAAAATCAATTTTTTCTTTTATGGAATTTACTGTAATACTATTTAAAAACTAATTTCATACTGTTTTAATATCAATTTCACAATTTTTCGACAAAAATTCACCTTACTTTAGCATCTTTTGTCAAAAAAATTTCAGAATCTCTCAAATTTCGAGGAAAAAATCAATTTTTTCTTTCTCACATTTCATTATTATGCCCTTACAACACTAATCAAACCTTTTTCAGAACCCCTTCGTCCACAAGACCCGGCCATGCACTCGTTTTGCCAAAGGCTTCTGCAAATACGGCGAGAAATGCACTTTCATGCACCTCAAACGGCAATAATTCTCAATTTTTTACTATTTAATAGATTTCCATTTAATTATTAATTGTTTAATATACTATTTACTTAATAAATTATTAATTTTTAAAACTTTTTTAGTTGATTTTTATTTCTTTTTTAGTATTTTTATCAAAAAAATTGAAAATGCCTCGAATTTCGAGTAAAAAATCAAATTTTTCTTTCTGAAATTCCGCTATTATCAAAAAAATAATATTAATTTTATTTGTTTTACCTCTAAATTTTACCTTTTTTGACCAAAACTTACCTTATTTTAGAAAAAAATTTTTAAAAAATCTCAAATTTCGACAAAAAAAAATCAAAATAATTTTTTCCAAATCCCATGTAAAATTAAAATATACACTGTTTTATTCATATTACTTCATTCTTTTTCGTATTTGGCCCGTCAAATTGTACAGCAAAAAAAGTTATTAACTTACAAAAATTAAAAAATCAAAAAAAATTATGATTAGAAAATTGGGGTACCCGTTGGTTGTTTGGAATGTGAGTGGGGGTCACGGACCCCGAAAATAAATACAGAAAGGGGCAAGACTCAGTGGGTGCGGTGATTCAGTTCGTCCATCCAGGCGGGGGAGCTGATTCGGATCGTGTCCATCTTGGTCATGACCTCGTTTTCTTGGGTGGAAGCGGGTCGGTCGGGTCTGAAATAAGTCAAAATTATCAAAAATATTAAATTGTGTAACTGTCAGGGTTCTAAAATCCCAAAATCCGGTGTCTAATCGAAAAAAAGCAAAATTTCGTTTCGCGGGCTGCGCCCTACCCTCAAAAAATATAAAAACCAGTTTATAGCATAAAAAAATTTGCTAGATTTTTCTACGGCCAAAATCCTTTTAATTTCAGATTCAAAAAATCCAAAATCCAAAAATTTTTCGTTTCGCGAGCTGCGTCCTACCTTCAAAAAATTATAAAAAACGTGCTGAAATAAAGAAAAAAATTGCTTGCTTTTGCTTCAATCAACACTATTTTATTTTCAACTTCAAAAAATCCTAAATTCTAAGATTTTTCATTTCCCGAGCTGCGCCCTACAAACACGGCAAAAAGTACTGCAAAACTTCAAAACACTGTTTTCACAACTTTAAATCCTAGATTTCGGATTTAACACCACAAGTTTTACACTACAAATCAACAAAAAATAATTTTTTTGAATTTCCGAGCTGCGTCCTGACCAATCTAAAATATCGTAATTCGTGATTTAAAATACGAAATATAATTATTTCCTTCCCACAGAAAGTGAATCAAAAATCTTCAAAACATTCAAATTGTAATTTTTTACAATTTCAAAATCCGCGACCTGCGCCCTACCCAACTCCCAAAAACTCGCAATTACCCTCCAAAAAAAAGGCCAAAAATTCCTTACGTCATATCTTTTTGCTCTGTGACGTCCATCATCTCAGTGTCCGACGAATTTGCCACGTATTTCTGATCTTTCACCGACGACGACTTTCTCCTCAACCTCAATGACGTCGAAGAGGTTGAGTTCGTTCGGAATGGGTTGCCAAATCGTTTCCGATGGCCCATCGCTTTCACGAGGATGAGAGTGTCGAGTCGAGGGATGGAACGGACGGCATTTCGGACGTCTTCGTCGGTGATGCTGACCAAAGTGCAGTTCTCTTCTTCGGTGGGCATTGGCCACAGCCCGTTCTTCGTTACCCATGGGTTGGCCTGGAATTAAACCACAGCATTAGCCTTATTTTTAACACCAAAAAAGGCAAAAATTTTCAAATTTTTTTGAAAATTTACAAAAAATTCTCCAAAAAATCGGAAAAAAAATAATTTTTTTTCTAAAATTTCAAAAGAACTAAAGCTCCAAAAGCTCCCAAATTAATTTTAGACCCTTAAAATTTCATAGAAAACCTTTAGATCCAACAAACTCCATCAAAACCCCCAATTTTGACCAAAAATCGATCAAATATCAAGTATAATATAATTTTTGATCCAAAACTCAACAATATCAAAAAATTATTCCCAATCTTTCAAACCACGTTAGAATCACTCTATTCCACTCCCACTTACCTTGACTTCATTGAGATTTATCCTCAATCCGGGGTCTTTTCGGAGCATGAGCAATATCAGGTCCTTGAGTTGTTGTGATATCTCTGGTCTGAAAAAACACATGATCTATCAAATTTACGCTTCAATCGACTTACTCATCCGGGAAAATGACCGGATCATTTTTGATTTTTCGATGCAACGCCATAATATAACCATCGACAAAGGGTGTGTTACCGTAAACCAAGGCGTATAGTGTGATTCCCAGGGACCAGATGTCCTGCGCTCGGCCTGAGTAGAACTGTGAGGAGTCCTCTGAAATGACTTTTGCTCAATATAGCGGATATTGGGATCAAAAAAAATTAGTCAAAAAATCGGCGAGCTGCGCCCTGGGTCTTGTCAGAAATCGACGAAATTGATACAAAAACGTTGTGAGACCTATAGAATGAAGAGAAATAAGAGCAAAACAACTTACCAATAAGAGCTTCGGGCGCCATGAAGGCTGGGGTACCAGCGGTTCCACTTAAAAACGCGTCGATTCCTTCGAATTCGCAGGACACTCCAAAGTCCGCGATTTTCACCTGATTTGATTCGGAAAGCAAAAGGTTTTGAGGTTTGATGTCGCGATGAACGATTTTTTGGTAGTGTACTGAAAGTAAAATACGGATAAAACATGATAAATTGAAACCTAAACATGAAATATCAAAAAAAAATTTTTTTGAGAAAATTGCAAAAAAATTCGGATTTTAATATCGGATATCGCCGAAAATAAAAAAAATATTGCTGGCCACATAATTTACACTATTTTATAGTCTACATCGATCAAAATTTTAAAGGTGAACGTAAATTTTAAAAATCCGAAAATTAAAAAAAATCTAGAAAATGACAAAAACTTCAAAAAAATTCAAAAAATCCATTTTTCACATAAAAAAACATTCCAAATTTTTTTTCAAATCTCCTCTACAGACTTCCCCACCTCCCAATTCATCCAAAACTCACAATATTCCAGTCCTTTGACGGTGTCTCGAAAGTATTTCCAGGCAGTTTCCTCGTCCAGCGGGGTGTCGGTTGGCAGTTCGAGCAGCGTCCGATGCTCCACGTATTCGAACACCATGTACAGATACTTGTCGCTGGGGTCGTCCACCACCTCCACGAGGGTTACAATGTTGGGGTGGCGGAGTTTCTTGAGGATGGCGATCTCTTTGTTGATCAGGATTAGGGGGTCCTTGTGCACGGCGGAGGTTTGGCGATTCCGGCGGGCGGGGGGAGCTCCTGGAGGAAAAAATGGGGTAAATGTTTGGTTTAGATGTCATCAGGAACTAAGGAAATTTTAAAAACGAAAAAAAATTTGAAAAAAAAATAAAAAAAATTTTTTTTTAAATTAAAGAAAACTTACGAAAGCAGGCAAAATTCTTGAGCAACTTGGCTTTATCCAGCACTTTCATGGCCTGAAACAATAAAAAAACATCAAAAACATTCCAAAAAATCCCAAAAATCAAAAAAAAAAAAAAAAAATATGTAAAATACGAAAGTTTTCGCTAGTACATGTTTAAAAAAACCCCTCCAAAACCCACATATAAATTGTGATCTTCCTGATTGTAGGCCAATTTGACGATGCCGTAGCTTCCTTGGCCGATCTCTTCCATAAGGCGGTACTGATTGAGTTGAATGTATTTGGCATTTGTTTTTTGGTCCACCACTGTGACTATTTTCGTGGGCCTTTGAAGGAGGAATTCTGGCATCTGGAATTGAATAAAATTTAAAAAAAAAAACTATTTTTAATTTTCTTAAAAATCAAAAAATCTCAAAAATTTATTCTGATTTTACTAGACTGGCCAAAAAGACTTGACATGTTTTTATGGTGTCTCTTTTGAACAGAATTTGACTGAAAAAATGAAGGAAAATGAGTTCGCCAAAGTTCAACAACTTTTTTTTAAACTTTCAAGTGGGAAAGTTGCGAAATTTTGCAGAATTCTTATCACATTTAGCAATGGAGTGAATCCCATATTTTACTTGCTGTGCCAAAAAGTCTTGACATTATTGCACTGCGCGCCGTCGCCGAAAAAACCTTGTCGCACGGGGACGAGTAAAATTCACAGTGCACAACAACCACACACAGTGCGAAATGAATGCTTTTGAAAAGGGCGATCAAAGCGTACATCGCGCGATGAAATTGCACAGTGTGTTTTTCATTTGCACTGTCTCTATTCCTTTTCAAAAGCGTTCATTTCGCACTGTGTGTGATTGTCGTGCACTGTGAATTTTACTCGTCGCCGTGCGACAAGGTTTTTTCGGCGACGGCGCGCAGTGCAAACATGTAGAGACTTTTTGGCACGACACGTAAAATATGGGATTCATTCCATTGCTAAATGTGAAAAAAATCTGCAAAATATCGCAACTTCCCCACTTGAAACTTTAAAAGAAGAAGTTGTTGAACTTTGACCAAATTTCCTTCAATTTTTCAGTCAAATTCTGTTCAAAAGAGCCCATCAAAAAGCGGCTAACGAGACTTTGTTTAATTTACCCGGGAGGAAAAAAGTCAAACCGACTTTGCAATTTTGAGGAGAAGGGTTCAAAACTGGAAAATTTTGGAAAAAATCGAAGGAAAATCCGCCAAAAAATTTCAAAACAATCGCCATTTCGACCACTTTTTTCGAGCTCTCATTGTAACAATACACTTTAAGGACAAATGGCGACAAAAACACTGGTTTGGCCCATCTCTCAAGTGCGTTTGCGAGTTCCCTAAGCTACCAAAGTTTAGACAAAGTATGAATAAATTATCATCCGGCTCGACGAGCCTGTTTTTGGCCGCCAACAATGGAGTCTGCACGTAGCAGAAAGATTAGTCAGGGTAGACGAAGAACCTTTCGGGTTTATGGGTAAAAGTATAGTAAAAAATCATTTCGATTTGAAAACACCTAGTCCAATATAAAATTTCATTCAAAAGTTGATTTATGATTTCACAAATTCCTCAACGCAACCGAAGAAATCCTCCAAATAACATTATCAACCAAAAACCCCGCAAAAATTTCAACATTAAGACAAACATCATTCATCTTGATCGTCGACAAGAAAAAACCTTTCGAGAATTCCACACGTGCTGCAGAAATAATGGCAGTTAACGACGGCGGGGTTCGGGTTTCAGCAAACATTCCGGCGATGGAAAATGTGGCGTTTCGGCGTCTTTAAACGGTCCCCAAAGACCCTTCTGGAGTAGCGGCCGACGAGCGGCCGATGGGAAGGACGGGAGGGGGAGAGAACCCGGTACTCATCTTCCCAAACCTACATCTCGGAATAAACGACGAGAAAAAGAACTCGAAACCGTCTTTCCGTCCGCTCCATTTTTTCGGCCGTCATTTTCGGCGTTTCGACTTTTCGAATCATCGCGAATTCGCCCACGTGTTGGCAACCTCGAGGTCCTATCACACTCTCCATGTCTGTGTCTATCCCTGGCGGGCCCTACTCAACAACTCTGCGCCAATTTTTAAGTAGGTAAATAATGGGAAAACGGGCGTGGAAACACGGATTCCCCGACGTTCCCGTTTGAATTTCGAAGGCTTACAGTAGGCCGAAGATGCGACTTTGGCTCTCAACTGTTTCACATCGAATTTGTAGGCTCAAATACAAAGCGTATCTTATCAAGAATTTCTTTTTGGTCTAAAGCTGGCGTTCAAATCAATTCAACTTTCAGATCATCCTCGGAACTGGATGACCCCAACCCTAGCCACCTTTTACAAACCACCATCTGCCTAAGAAACACCCAATACGCACCGAAAGTCATTAATTTCGCCTGCAAAGCCGAGTTTTTCTAAATCAGCAATAAAAACCCGACCGAAAACAAGTCTAATCACAAGGACTGGAAGGCAATCAGCCACATGTTCAATTAATAAAATCCTTTCTCAAAAGCCATTCACAGAACCTTTGAGGGATATAATTCAAAATCCAGAATGGCTTCAGAGCCACACCGGATGGTGGATGAATTACGACGATTTTTCAAGGAAACCGCATTGAAAAACGAGGTCGCATAAAACGCGAAGGGTATGACAAGGTCTATTCTGTCTTTTAATGCTTTTTCTGCCAAGCAATTAGATGAAATTCACCAAGAGATCAACACAAAATTAAGAAAATCAAGAAAAATCTACCTTATGTTAGGCACAAATGCTTAACAAAAGGTACAGAACGTCCAAAACAAGATGAAAGCATACCTATAGCACCTTCAAAACGAACACACAGTCAAATACGAACATCAAGGTCGACAAAACAATCGCAACAGAGGACCAACAGAAGGCAGATGACGATCAAAACACGAGTACAACACCTTTGTTCCCCGCTTCAATGAATCACGCACAAATCACCTCCTCCACAAGAGTAAACCCGAAAAAGTTCGATCACTCGTCAAGAGTGAGGAGGACCGACAAAAGCCGATGGGCTCACACGAGATCCACGAAAAAGTCAAAACAAGGCCCGAAATCTCAAAAAATCGAGGACAAACGTTCATAACTTTGATATTCAATGGTCAAAATCGAGCCGCAACAAAGCATACAGTAATACAAAATCAATTGGAGGTTGATCCTGAGTTCAGGAAGAGCTTTTTTGACGATTATTTATATCATACTAGGCAAAAGGCCAAAAAAATAAAACTTTTTTGACTTTTTGCCTAGTATAATATAAACAAAGGTCAAAAAATTCCCCCATAATAATTGCATTGATTTTCAATGGTCGAAATCGAGCCGAAACTAAGCATACAGTAATAACAAACCAATTGGAGGTTGATCCTGAGTTCAGGAAGAGCTTTTTTGACCCCTATTTATATTACACTAGGCAAAAGGCCAAAAAATACAACTTTTTTGATTTTTTGTCTAGTATATTATAAACAAAAGTCAAAAAATTCTCCCAAAATCAAACAAAACCATATTCTAACAACGCAGCCACCAAGATCAACACAGATCTTTCCAAAATCAACTTCCCCGACAACAAAATTTTCGGCCGCTTCCAGCGATTTCGGCACTTGATCGGTCACTATAAATTAATTTCGGCCCCCCAACAAACCCACCGATCCGGGGCCGGGATCCCGAACAATCTCCCACCTTTCGCCCGACGGGCATTTTTTGCGTTTCGCTTTGCCGAATTTTCGGCCGCTCTTTTTCCCCTCTTCTAATTTCGGCCCCAAAAAATCCAATCAAAGTGGGCTGGGGCTTCCCTGGCACGTTTGTTGATGAGCGTGTGTTTTTTCGGGCCCCCGAGTTTAATGTTCGCCGATTCTGAGGGCAAAAATTAATGGGTTTTGGGCGGAATTTTTTGAAGATACCGAAGGGGAATCGTGCCCGCCTCAACGGCTAATTGGGTGTTTTATGGGAAGTTATGGCATTGGCGCTGCGCCGCGGTTGTTTTTAGAGAATTTTGCAATTTTTTGAAGAAAATTTTAAAAAAACTTTGTCAAAATACTCTAATAACCCAAATTTCTGACTCAAAATAGGCTTCATCGCTCTGCTCCTACACTCAACTTGGTGGGTTCCTCCGTATTTTACCCATACAGTCAAAAATTTTATTCAAATCATCCCTAACTCTGAGATCTTACGTTCACCATTTTACTTTTCCCATCGAGAACGTAATACTTATTTTGGGAGGACTAAAATAAAAGCCCACATCATATTTGACCTTACTTGTCCAATCAAGACAGAGGGCCGTCGAATCTAACTAAATTTCACCTTCTTTTGTCTAAGCGGTCATGGATAATATCGGAAAATCAAAGAAAAAGCCAGAATTCCATAAGAAATAGACCTTTTCTCTCTCCGACATCCCTTCCTTTATCTTTTTCTTCAATCCTAAACACAAAAGCACACAAAATTCCGAAAAATTCGACTTACTCGATCCGTTGAGTTCTGACTGGTCTGCGGCCGAACCTCATCCTCGCAAATCGCAGGCGACCGCGTCAACCTTCGGTTGGCAGTGGTGTCGGACTGTTGGCGTACCATCTGCGACACATTCAGCAGTTTGGAGCTGGTTGGCGTTGGTGGCGCCGCGAACGGCTCTGTGGGATGGTTGGTGGGAGGAGTTGGTGGTGTAACGTCGGCCAAGCCCACCGCGGCGCTCCGTTTCGGGAGTCGTGGCGGCGCGGGTGGGGCGTGCTCGCCTTCCATTCTGCAAATACGTATTTTAGGCGAGAAAATTGGCGGATTTTTATTTATTTTATAGGCAGCAATGGTGTCATGCACAAAATTCAATGTAAAGTTGTAAAATTCCAGGCAACCCGAACTTTGAAATCAATTACAAGGTGTAACAAGTAATTACGCAGAGAATTACGCCATAATGAGGACATTACACAAGGTTTCGGCATGAAAATTACATCAATCTTACCATGGATAATATAACATAAAAAAATTGCCAAATTCTGCAAAGAAATCCCTGTAAATGCAGAGGAAACCGTTGTTTACGGCATCAAAAAGAAATTAAACCAATAAGGACGTTGATTTAGATATTAAGTTACCTAAAATTGTCTAATCAAATAAACCTTTGTGACTAAGACGATATAATCACGTTCTGCGACAAAGGGCATTAATATTCTGCTTCCTTCAAGTCGAGATACGTGCCCCGCACCTTCCTTTATATTATTTGAATAGAAAACAACATCGGGAATAACAAAAAACGAGACGGGAAACGAAAAAATGGCATTAAGCCGCTGAAAATTGGAAAAAAATGGCATTTCCAGTCGAAACCGTGAAAGTGATGAATGTTCTATGCCGTGGGTGTTGTGTACTCGTGCACATTTCGTTGCACAGCACAAGCTCCGAGAACTTTGTGTGAAACCAATAATTTGTTGACATTTCGTCGCGAAATTCGACGAAATGTCACAACATTTAGGGAATGTCGGAAAATTTGCAGGAAAATGTCAGAAATGATTGTAATGCACTCAGGAGCCCGTGAAAATTTCTGACTGTCAATTTACAGGCCTGTTAAGAGCTCAAAAAGTGGAAAATCCCGAAAATAACCGCAAAAATTACTAATCTTTTGCGATTTTCATTGAATTAGAGGTCAATAATCCAGTTGGAAAGAGGAAATGACATTGCCTCTTCTAGCAGAATTAGTAATCTGTATAGACCTCACAACTAGACTTATTTTTAATCCCCTTTATTTAGATTCTTGTACAATTTTAGTGTCAAAAATGTAAATTACAATGTAAAAATTAGTCAAATGAAAAAATAAGAGGCTTAAGTGTCGGGAACATTGGAATTAATCCAGGACGGGACGACCAAAGGTTAAATTTAGACGTGCGGTCACGTGGCTTGAGGAGAAATAGGAGGAAATGAGGGATTTTGGGGAGGAAAGTTGAAAATACTAGGAAAAGATAGCAATTTAAGGTAAAATACGGTTAGTTTTATAATCATAATTAAACCTGGTGCATTTTAAACCCATTTAGATCGCATTTCAACCCTATTTTTATTCATTTTTGATATAAAAATCAAAAAATTTCGTGATTTTTGGAGAAAAATCCATTTTTCCCCTTAAAAATCCTAAATTCAAAGCTGAAATCCCTCTCTATTGTTACACATTGTATCTTACAACTCTTTAGATGCTATTTACTAACAGCTAAAGCTGATTACAACAAGACTATACGCTTAAAATCCATTTTTAGAGATTTCTGTCGTAGCTCGTCATTCCGTTTGGTTTTCGGTTTGTTCCAACGTTATTTTACTCTCACAGGAATGTTAATACGAAATAAAAAGCAATTTGTAAAATACGATGCACAAATTTTTGTTATTCGTTGAGAAATTGTATGAATAACGTGATGATATTACAGCGCATAGTACTCCATAAGTTTTGCTTCGATTTGCTTCAAATTTGGCACACTTATTCGAAATAGATCACAGGTAAATCACTGAAAGTTTTAGCTCGCAAATTTCAGCCAGATCCGAGATATTGACCGATCTTTTTAGAGAGACTGCGTAAAACGAGGAGAGTCGGAAGGACGTAAAACATTTTTCGTTTATAACTTTTTGAATACGTCTCAGAAAAACATGATTTTTTGTAGACACGTTATACATACGACTAGTAATATATCCAGAAATTTTCAAACCAAATATCGACAATTTTTTTTTTGAGATTTTTCAAATTTTCGGGCTAAAAATCTCGATTTTTACTGCAAATTTTTCACTAAGACTTTGTCATATGTCTTGTATCATCAGAACGAAAGTGATAAAATTTAGGGTACACTGCAAAAAAAAATGAATTTATCAGTCTGTCGGGAAAATAATGAGAATTCTGTCGCAGCGAAAACCGCATCGCTGCCGAGAAAATGAATTGTCTTTGTGGCCAAATCAAATTGCTTTTCACTTCAACGACGCGATCGGCGCAGCGACATTTCGCTCATTATTTTCCCGACAGCCTGATTTCTGTTTATCTCTGTTTACATTATTCTGTAGAACGCTCAGTCTGTCGGGAAAATAATGTGGATTTGTCGGAGAAAAATTGCTCGCCTCGTCGCAAAATTGGAGATGCGATCATAAATGCCGTCGCACATCGTTGATCTTGAGGCGCTACGAATCCACATTATTTTCCCGACAAACTGATTTATCTTTGCACTGGTCTAGAAACGCTCAGTCTGTCGGGAAAATAATGTGGATTTGTCGGAGAAAAATTTTTCTCAAGACGCAACGGATCCACATTATTTTCCCGACAAACTGATAAAACCTCCAAAATTCCCTATAAAATCCCCGCAGCCATTTCCACTCCCCTCCGAAAAAGGGGCCGAGGAGAAGTGCAAAAATCTGAGCGGTGGAAAAAAAAGTGTAAGCGCGAAACAAAACCAACACTGGGTCCAGCCTTTTTCCCCCCACCTCCTCCTCCGGCATTCGGCGTGGCGCATTAGGGGGTTTTACACCGAAAAGACCCGCCGAAAAAAACTTCGCTCCGTCCCGAGAGCTTTTCGGGGATTTCGAGTCCACCATTTTTCGAGTTTTTCCTCGCATGACATTGTCCTATGCGCAGTGGTTTATCCGCGCCCAGACCCGCCGTCCCCCGGAACAAAGATTATCGATGGGGAACGAGAAGGGCTTCGGTTTCCCGGATTCGCTTATTTTGGCGGCCGTTTCGAGGAGGGCGATAGTCGGAGGTCTTCGGAGACGAATTTGGAAACTCTGTGGAAGGTGAAAATATTAGGGAAAGACCAGAAATCAGGAAGCCTTGGAGTAGTGATGACTATAAAACCTTAAAACGAAAAGTTTGATGTCTAAAATGTCGCTGAAATGATTGTAGAATCAAATTCAAGGAAAAATAAGTTTTACAGAGAGGGTAGTGCAAGTTTTGAACACTTGACACAATTTTTATATCGGTCTGTCGGGAAAATAATGTGGAATTGTCGCAGCAAAATCTCTGGCCTTGCCAAAATAACGCAACAAATTGCCAACCGCGCCTAGTCGCCGCTACGATTACAAGCAGCGACAAATCCATATTATTTTCCCGACAGACTGATAGAGTAAAACTATAAAACTATCTGACAGGCAAAGAAGATGGATTTTCTTTTGGCAGGGATCTTACAAAGACATATCAGTCAGACCTCCCAAATACAGTGGCGGACCAGATCAAGTGGCAAAAAACGCGCCATTTTGCATCCGGGAAGTATCAAAAATGTGGCAAAATACCTCCCTCTCCAAGCGAAAAAACTCCGATTTCAAAAGCGCGCCCGCACTTTTTGTGAGGACCCTTCAGAACGGAGTTTTTTTAGATGGAGAGGGAGGCATTTTGCCACATTTTTTTATACTTCCCAGAAGCAAAATGGCACGTTTTTTGCAACCGGATCAGATCCGTCACTGCGTCTGACTCTTTCTGGCTGTATTCTAACAGTCCGTCGGGAAAATAACGTGGATTTTCGCAGCAATACGTCTCGTCTTGTCGCAGTCGCGTACCAAATCTCCAGCCGTGGCTAGGCCGTCACAAAGCGATAATGGGCGGCCCCAAGGTGCGACAAATCCACATTGTTTTCCCGACAGACTGATATAACAAATGGAAAGAAGTTCAAATGCCAAAAGGTCGCGCAAAGGCACTTCGCGATGTCGACCACACAATGCGAAGACATGTCAAGACTTTTCGACCCACCCTAATGTACATACATGTATATGATAGCTACATCTACAGGTGTAATAATGCTCCTCAAGCAAACAAATGACGCGCTCAACAGGAAGTACAATGGGGTTTTCCGCCAAACAAACTGTTCGTCAGCTACAATGTACATATAGGTGTTTCTTGACGTGAATTTTCACTCGATTCTTATGTTTTACCCTAGAAAACAATAAAAAATAATTTACGCAAGTTTTTGTCACCATTCGAGGATTCATGACCGTTCTAGCGGGGAGAAAATAAAGAATATAAAGTTGTGAAACGAGGGGAATGCAAAAAAACATTCGAAGCGAACTGTACGCGTCTCCTAACAACAAGTTTACGTCGGAATTTCGGGAAAACCCGCTTTTTTTATGGACTTGACGAAAGAAGTGCGTAATAATACTAAAATATTATAATACAAGTGTGTTGTGGGGGGAAAATTGAGGTGAAAAAAAGAGACAAAATCTAGGAAATCGAAACAAAATTCTAGGATGTGGCTTGTGACTTGATGGTATAACCGAAAATTTTCAGCTGAAATTGGAGTGATAACACCAAATTTGGTCTCGAATGAAGTCAAAAAACTTTTTGGCATTGTGCAACAAGAACGTTATCAGTCTGTCGGGAAAATAATGAGCATAATGTTGAAGCGCCGAGATCGCGTGGGGCTGACCGGAATTTTTTTTTCACTTTTTTTTTTTTTTTTTTTTTTTTTCGCGGCGATGCGATTTATGATGCGACAGAGGCTCATTATTTTCCCGACAGGCTGATAGTGGGATTGGAAGGTGACAAAGCGACAGTCCGAAAAATAAAAAAAATAAAAAAAAATAATTTTTTTATTTTTCGTTTAAAGTCCCAGGCTCTGTAAATGATGAACATGATGAGGTGTAGAACTCTTCCACAAGAAATCCGTCATTTCCAAGGGCTATTCAGAAAGTTTTAGGCGAAAGGAGCCTTTATTTCTTTATTTGTTCTGCCGATTTCTCTCTTTTTACGTGCTCTCTCGAAAAAATGCCGGTTTAATTTTTTGGATTTTTGGATTTCAGGCTGTCGGGAAAATAATGAGCTCAAATTGCTTTTCACTTTAGCGACTCGATCGGCGCAGCAACAGAATGCTCATTATTTTCCCGACAGACTGATGATGCATGCCAAGAGCAAGCTAAAATTTTCAGCAATTGATTTATGGACATCGTACGTTGCGGGTACCAAATTTGAGAAAAAATTATACATTTGTTTGAGAACGGAGACTTGAAAATTTCAAAAAATTTTTTGATTATAACTTTTTTTTAGATCTCACAAAATACGACTATATTTAGTACAAATCCTCACATGTCCCCCTCATCCATCTCAACCCAAAAGCCCCATCGAAAGATCGCCGGACGGCATCAAAAATTTAAGATGGAAACCATCGCTCATCCGAGCACAAGGTAATGAATAAACAGGCGAAAAGAAGTGGCCTGTTCGGGGACCCGGCTCCATAAATAGGGTATAAATATTTACGCGCATTTCTGATGAGAAATGAATAGCGGCGAAATGAATTTCCTCCCCGCCGGCCACGCCTTGGGGCAACTAAAAGTTCCGCGAAAACTCAGGTGATGAGGGATGCCAAAAATTTGGTGAAAAGAGCTTTTTTCCCTAATTTTTATAGCAAACTAGCAACTGGGAGGTAAAAATCAAGACTTGCTCAACTTATAAGGGAAGTATAATACCTCAAGTGCAACGCTCAGATTTTCTTTAAATTTTGCACACACGTCGGTCATGGACTACGTATCAATTCCTGAAAGTTTTAGCTTGCGTTTTGCAAGGGCCGCCGAGATATCGAACGATCTTTGCCGCCGAGAAAGCACGCTAAACGTGGAGAGCGGTCAGAGAGAAAACACCTTTTTTGGCCATAACTTCGCTAGTTTCGTACGGAAAATTTTGATTTTTTGTAGAAACGTTACCCATTGCAACAGAAATAGGCATGAAACTTTTCGTGTCGAAGTTCTGCAAAAAGTGTCAAATTTTCGCCGACTTTCGGTCTAAAAATCTCTGTTGTTTTTGCAAAGCGCGAGCCAGGATTCTCGCATATATCTTAGAAAAAATTATTCTAAATTTGTGCCAAGTTTCATCCAAATCTGAGCGTCGCACTTGGGGTACTTCCCCTGTTAGAAAAACCGAAAAAATTATAAAAAAAATTACAAAAAAAAATTTTTTTATGTGGTTTCCCAAAGGTAACCTTTTGCCCCAAAGGTTACCTTTTGGGGTACCACAAGTCTGTCGGGAAAATAACGAGCAATATGTCGGGTCGTTGAAACGAAAAAATTTGATTTTACCGCTTGGTATTCAGCTTGTAATGTGCATTAATTTTTGAGATTTTTTTGGTCTTACAAAACTTTTGAGATTTTTTGGCTTAAAATTTGCGGCTCGATTACTAACGGGACCAAACATTTTCCACAAAAAATCATTGTCTTTGTCAAAGTTTGAAAACTTATGATCAAAAACAAATTTTCTGTATCAGTCTGTCGGGAAAATAATGGCTACAATGCCGCTGTGCCGGTCGCGTCGCTGAAGTGAAAAGCAATTTGATTTTGTCATGAAGACAATTCATTTTTGCGATTTTTGTTGCGACCAAATTCCCATTATTTTCCCGACGGACTGACATACGCACTGTTGAAAAAGCGTCCCATTTCCTCGTTAGTCACCATTAAATGTTTTTCGAACTTTCCTTGGACACTAGATGATTTTAAATAGCATTTTAAGTAGTTGCACGCGGCCAAAATTAGGATGAAAATGATGTCGGCGGAGCAAAGAGCACAAAATTATTTTTATCCCAAGAAGGAAACACTTTTTTCAGGCGTTGAAAAAGAAAACAAAAAACAGAAAACATAATAACAAAAAACAGTGAAAGCCTTAAAGAAATCTCTATAAGATACGAGATACGTTTATCTTTAGAAGATACGATATGTATGTTTCAAAAAGGGGGGGAAAAGTTGGAGGAATGTTGATTTTAGCCGCATACGGGGAGTACTCAAATTGCGACGCTCAGATTCTGAACCTGGGATAAATTTTGAAACTTGGGATAAATTTTGACTCATTTTTCCTGTAAAACATATGCGAAACTCCAAGCTCGCGCTTTGCAGAAACTATCGGGATTTTTCGGACGAAAGTTGGAAAAAATGTGACACTTTTTTGCGAGTTTTGGGAAGCCTCATGAAAATTTCTACTATAATGGGTAACGTCTACATTAGAAGTGGCAATCGGTCAGGGCCGATTTTTGCGGCCCGGCCCGCGGGCCGAAGTGACCAGGGCTTTTTCAAATTTGCTCAGGCCGGCCCGGCCCGGTTTGGCCCGCTAATACAGAAAAGTTGGATAAAAGTCTCTGCACTTTCTACTGGAAGTTCTTATGCTTTCCAGAAGGTTTTTACGTGTGTCTGCGTGAAATTAAAATGTCCAGTCGGACGACTGGAACATCCGTACAGGTAGCTAAAACCTAGCCAAAAAGTTGGATTTAAGTATGGACGTTATAAGGTAATACATAATTTTAAAAGGTAGTAAAACAGCGTATAAGTCAAAAAAGGTTTAATCTAATTTCCATCCATTCTTCAAAGCATTTGTGCTTTATTTTGCTGGGCCCGGCCCAGCCCGATTGCCACCTCTAGTCTACAAGAAAAAAATAAAAAATCTGATCGTCGCACACGGAGTACTTCAAAAGTAAAATTGACATTTGGGGCATCTAAAATTCGTTTGCAAAGTCGCTGCAGTAATTTTCGCGACATGCACTGTGCAAAGTGAACTTTTGTTTTCTCACAGTGCATGTCGCAAAAACTTCACTCTTTGCGAATGACTAGAAGCCAAGTCTTGCCATGTTTCACCTCTCCTAGAGGCCATAGAGCAATTTGTAAAACAAAAATTTCCGCCAAAAAATCCCAAAAATAACCCTCCAAATTCCCCTCACTTTGTCGCCAAATCACATCAAATGTCGCCTGTTGCCCTTTTCGGTCAAAACCCCTCTCCGGCACTTCCATAAAAAGCCCTCTGAAATTGGATTTAAACCCCCCAATTTCCGGCATATCCCCTCAAGCGAACATTTTCGAACATTTTCGGGGTCGTGATTGGATTTAGGGGGGCCGCACAAGAAACGGGCGCGTTCATTAGAAGCCCGAGACGCACTTCAGGTGGCCGTGATTGACACTTTGCCGGCGGCGGGACAGTGGCCAAAGGCTGGGGGGCAAAAGCACACCTACTCAAGTTGTTTTGGAGAGCTTGGAGAGAGTAATAACATGACGTGAGCCAAATCTTTTTTTTTTTCTATTTTTAGCCGTAATTAGCAAGGTAATTAGAGAGATAATAATTGAGGAGTGGAAAATGTTGAAATGTTGGGAAGATGACGGAGATTGCAAGGTTTTGCAGAAAAATAGGAAAATGCAAGTATTAATCTGTCGGGAAAATAATGAGTAGCGTCTTGAGAAACATTTTTCTGCGACAACTCCACATTATTTTCCCGACAGACTTAAATATCTAACAGTTCTCTAGCAGTAATAGAAACAGAAATCAGGCCGTCGGGAAAATTATGAGTACAATGTCACTGTGCCGATCGCGTCGTTGAAGTGAAAAGCAATTTGATTTTGCCGCAAAGACGATTCATTTTCTCGGCGGCGATGCGATTTTCGATGCGACAGAGTGCTCATTATTTTCCCGACAGACTGATAAACTCAATTTTTTTTGCAGTGTACCCTAAATTTTATCACTTTAGTTCTGATGATACAAGGCATATGACAAAGTTTAAGTGAAAAATTTGCAGTAAAAATCGAGATTTTTAGCCCGAAAATTTGAAAAATCTCAAAAAAAAAAAATTGTCGATAGTTGGTTTGAAAATTTCAGGATATATTACTAGTCGAATGTGTAATGTGTCTACAAAAATTCATGTTTTTCTGAGACGTATTCAAAAAGTTATAAACGAAAAATGTTTTCCGTCCTTCCGACTCTCCTCGTTTTACGTAGTCTCTCCAAAAAGATCAAAAAAGATCGATCAATATCTCGGGTCTCGCTGAAATTTGCGAGCTAAAACTTTCAGTTATTTACCAGTGATCTATTTCGAATAAGTGTGCCAAATTTGGCTCGACGTCAAGAAAACAATGGTTAGAAATACAAAAAAAACTATAATAAAATTAGTGTTGTGGAGCCTCAAAGGTCCCCACAATTCCCACAGAAATTAGCATAAACCAACTCATATAAAAGCAACGTCTCGTCACCAATTGTAAGAACATAATCTCATTTCCTCTTTCCCTGTGTGCGGTCTCAATAAATCTAATCCCAAGTCTTGTGTCTACTCTCAATACTTATCTACGTTTGAACGTCCACTTCATTAGAAAAAGTGGTCATACAGTGGGACCTAATCCAGTGGCAAAAAACGTGCCATTTTGCATCCGGGAAGTATCAAAAATGTGGCAAAATGCTTCCCTTTCCAAGTGAAAAACTCCGATTTCAAAAAGCTCTTTTTGTGACGGAAAGATCGCGCTCTTCAAAACGAAGTTTTTTCACTTGGAAAGTGAATCATTTTGCCACATTTCCGACACTCCCCGGATACAAAATGGCACGTTTTTTGCCACTGGATCAGGTCCCCACTGTATGAAAATATGGTAAGTTTTTGCCACGTAAAAAAAAATTTCCAGTCACTTGACCAGTCCCATTACCGATTCTACACCAATAAATTTCGAAGTGGGTTCGGCAAAACTGCCGCCATTTCCACAAAAGGCCAACCGCGAATTCACCGCGACACATGATGCATAATCCATTCGATTAAGCGAAGTTGCAGGGAGGGGAAGGCAAGAAGACATCTGACTGGTCAATTGGAAAAAAGGTCACAAAAAAAAGTTGGGGAACACGGTTCGTTGGGGATACACTAATTTTTGATGGCATTTTGATAGGTTTTTGGAATAAAAAGTGGGCGTAAAAATGGCCAGCTGCGCCCGTGCAATTTCTCCGAGCTGCGCCCTATGATTTTCAGCAAACTTTCAGATAGCGCATTGGCCACAGAAAAGGTCTGAAAAAAGCTCAAAAATTTTATTTTTTTTTATCCGTCTGTCGGGAAAATAATGTGGATTCGTCGCGAATCGCTTCACTTGGAGAGGGAGGTATTTTGCCACATTTTTTGATACTTCCTGGCTGCAAAATGGTACGTCTTTTGCCACTGGATCAGGCCCCACACTCTAAGTGGGTTTCACTACTACTTTATGAAAAAACTAATAGTAAAAAGCGAAGATCATAAACAACAAAAAACAGCATTAAAATCGTACAAAAAAGCAACATTACATTACGGCTTGAAAGACAAAATTTCACTGAAATTTGTTTCTCCCTTAACCCCAAAACAAAATAGATGTACGAACCTTTATTTCGATATTTTGCAAAGTATTATGCTCTTTGCTCAACGAAAATACTAATTGTAACTCCACACATACAACGAGAGAGAGAGAGAAAAGATATTGTACTTTACATTTGTGACTCACAAAGTTATATCGCAAAGTACGAAAGAGGCGATGGGAAAGTAAAATTACGGTCTGCAAGACCACATTTTCGGTCTCTAATTAGCCAGCACTATTAATAATCATAGTCTAAATTGGGTACAATTTCTACAATTAAAAGATAGTTTAAAGGTTCAAAAACAAAAAATACCGTAAGTTGAGCAAATATGCAAAGTAATGTAGCTATAGTGGAGAATTCTAAAATACAAGTCTATAAACGGAAATATGGCTATTTTTGGATAGTTAGGGATAGTTACGCCCTTCTTGTACGAGATACAGTGGAAACTCTGTACAACAAGACCTGCCCATAACGAACGATTTCAGCGGTCTCATAAGTCAACTTTAGGTCAAAAGGAATCTCCATACAACAAACCCCATGTTTAATGAAAAAAATTATTTGTTCTCTTAATATTAGTTGTGCAGAGTCATCTCATTTTTAGACCTCAAAAAAGTAATAAACATGTAAATCTTTGATTTTTTTGCCATACACAATCTTGATGATAATATGTTTGCTATCAGTCTGTCGGGAAAATAATGAGCACAATGCCACATCGAAAGTCAAATTGCCGCGGGAAAATGAATCGTACCGCGACAAAATCAAATCGCTTTTCGCTTCAGCGACAAGATCGGCACAGCGAAATTGTGCACAATATTTACCCGACGGACTAGAATTGTCATAAAATAGCGATCGTTTGGATAAAAAATTTAAAAAACTAAGCTGTAGGCTCTTCGCAAACTCACACGTGTTCTCCTCAGTCCGTTCGCAAAGTCGCTTCGCGACATGCGCTGTGCGAAAACCACAGTTTACTATGCACGGTGAAATCTTTTCATTTTTGCACCGTGCAATAGGCTTTTTTGCACCCCGACTTTTTCTGCAAAGTACATACGCCGAGAATCATTCCAGCGACTTTGCGAACAGACTAGCTATTGATTTCCTAAACCTCAAACAATGAAAAACTGGAAAAAACTTGCAAAAAATCATCTGTGCCATGGCCTTCAAGCCACCAAGGAAATACAGCCAACCCTGTGTGCAAGAAATTGTGAGGGGAAAAAATTTTTTTGCTATAGCAAGATGTCGTTGTACGGAGGTTTATTTTGAACTAAAAGCGACGTTACGGACCTCTGAAAGTGTTCGTTATCTAAATATTGGTGAAGTACCAGTATGTCGGGAAAATAATGTGGATTTTTCGCAGGCGAATCGAAGTATCAGTCTGTCGGGAAAATAATGTGGATTTTTCGCTGACGGAGAGCTACCGGTCCGTCGGGAAAATAATGTGGATTTGTGGCTGATAAGAGAGTATCAGTCTGCCGCGAAAATAATGTGGATTTGTCGCAAAACCGGAATCGTTCATTGTCCCTTTGCAACGGCAGTTGGAGACTTTTTTTGCGACAAATCCACATTATTTCCCCGACAGACTGACACCCCCCTTTCAGCGACAAATCCACATTATTTCCCCGACAGACTGATACTCCCCGTCAGCGACAAAAAACTGGAGATTTGATGCGCGATTGCGACGAGGAGTATTTGCTTCGGCACGCCAAAAAAGAAAAAAGCCGAAACCCACGAGGCCCGAAAAATCTCCCTTTGGCCTTTTTCGGATATTTCTCTTCCATTTCTCGGCCCCATTTTTTCCAAAAGCAATGGCTCTTTTTCAAGGATTAGGACGGGCAAAAATAGAAATTCGAAAAAAAGTCCCCCAACAATGTCCCCGCTAATTTTGTGCAAATGCCCGCAGGGCACGAACCGGGAAGTGAGAGACGGAAATTTTATCTTTTTTTTGTTTTTGAGAGCTTAGACGTTGTAAAGTGACGTGAGAAAAAAATTTTTAATTTGTCAGATTTTGGGATTTTGAAAAGTACGGAAAAATAAAATAAAAAAGTAAATACTATAACAAAATTTTTCCACGTTTTGTATTTTCTCATTTTTTTCTGCAATTCAAAAAAAAATATTAGTCTGTCGGGAAAATAACGAGCACAATGTCCTTGCGCCGATAGCGTTGTTGAAGTGAAAACATTTGATTTTGCCGCAAAGACAATTCATTTTCTCGGCGATGTGATTTTCGATCCGACAGAGTGCTCATTATTTTCCCGACAGACTGATAAATGTCTGAAATTCTATCTTTTGTAACATTTTTTTTCAAAAAAAAACTTAAATTTTTAAAATATTTTTAATGCAGTTTGACGTATATAAAATTTTATCGAAATAAGAAAAATAAAAAGAAACCAAAAAAAAAGATTCCAAAAAAGAATCGACCAAAAATATATATTCTCCTGTAATTGTGTAAAACATCTGAAAAATGGTTCCTAAACTAATATTGTTTTAAAAAAATATAAGTTTTTTTGTAATTTTTTTATTTGTTTTTTATCAAAAAAGCCAAAAAAAATTTATATAATAGAATTTATAAAATTTTATATTTATATAAAAAATTTATATATATAAATTTTTATAAAATTGGCTCGTATAAAAAATTTCCTTTCCATAAAATTTCTCTTTTCATTTCGACAACAAAACTAACGAATTCGAAGAATAGGCAATTGAGATTTTGGCATTTTCCGAAATTACCAAATGAAACGCACGCAAATAATCCGTCAGAGTAAACGAGTAATTAAAATTCACTTTACGTAATCATACTTTTTCAACAAAAAAAGTGGAGGTAAATACTGGAAGAACCAGCCGAAATTTCTTGGAAAAAGTAATAAAAAAATAAAAATAAAATAAAAATAAAACTGTTTTTTAAGGAAGAAAAAAAAATAATAAAAAAAAATAATAAAATAAAATAAAAATTTTTTAAAATTTTTACACAGCTTTTTCATCCAATTTACGCAGCAAAATGGCTCCGTCGACATCATTTTATTTTTTGCTGGCACGCCATAGCGTCCATTTACCGAGAACATTGATAGTAATGAAAAAAAAGAACTCAAGCTCCAAAGATGAAAAAAGAATATTGGTGTCTGGAACAACGTCTGGATTGATTGTCTGCTGGTCGGCGGACAGATTTAGACCGTAAAGATAACAGGAAAACAAAATTTGAAAAAATAAAAAAATAAGAAAATTGCTATGTCGTATTTTACATTATATTAAATTTTTTTTATAAAAAAAATAAAAAAGAAAAATAAAAAAATAAAAAAAAAGTAAAAATGGTTTCTTGCCGTATTTTACAATATATTAAATTTTAATAAAAAAGATAAAAAAATAAAAAAAAAGTTGACACTTATTTCCTATTTTATAAAGTTCCTTTCTGACAAGAAATAAATAAAAAAAGATAAAAAAATATTGTTTTACACTAGAAAGTTTTCTTCGTATTTTACACTATATTAACTTTTAACAAAAAAGAATAAAAAATAAAAAAATAAAAAAAAGTTGACACTTATTTCGTATTTTATAAAGTTCTTTTCTGACAAAAAATAAATAAAAAAAGATAAAAAATACTTTTTACACTAAAAAGTTCACTTCGTATTTTACACTATATTAAATTTTAACAAAAAAAATAAAAAAATAAAAAAAAAGTTGACACTTATTTCGTATTTTATAAAGTTGCTTTCTGACAAGAAATAAATAAAAAAAGATAAAAAAATATTGTTTTACACTAGAAAGTTTACTTCGTATTTTACACTATATTAAATTTTAACAAAAAAATAAAAAATAAAAAAATAAAAAAAAGTTGGCACTTATTTCGTATTTTATAAAGTTCCTTTCTGACAAAAAATAAATAAAAAAAAATAAAAAAATATTGTTTTACACTAGAAAGTTTACTTCGTATTTTACACTATATTAAATTTTAACAAAAAAAAAATAAAAAAATAAAAAAAGTTGACACTTATTTCGTATTTCACGCTACATTAAATTTCTTTCTGACAAGAAATAAATCAAAAAAGATTAAAAAAGTATTTTTTTACACTAGAAAGTTCATTTCGTATTTTACACTATATTAAATTTTAACAAAAAAAAATAAAAATAAAAAAATAAAAAAAAAATAAAAAAAAGTTGGCATTTATTTCGTATTTTATAAAGTTCCTTTCTGACAAGAAATAAATAAAAAAAGATAAAAAAAAATATTTTTTTAAACTAAAAAGTTCACTTCGTATTTTACACTAACCAAGTAATATTTTTTAAATGAAAAATTTTGGAATCGTTTTTTGAAACTCCAAACCGGTATTTTTCCATAAAAAGACGAAGCCCACATCACTATACTTTTTTTGCTCCTTACATCTACCTGCACGTTCTGAGTACGCGTTCAGAGATCAAAAAAAAAGAAAAAGACAGACAAGCGTATGTAATCCCGACAAAACAAGAGCTCCATTCAAAAGGATTAAATGTTGACTCAAATTTTCATACTGGGATTGGAATTAAAATAACATTAAGTATATATAGATATCATAAAAAACATTTTTTTTATTAAAAATATCGAAATTTTGAATTTTATTTTAATTTTTAAAAAGTTTACAGAGTACTAGTAATCTACTGTATTAAAAAATTTAGTATTATTTCGTCTTAAAAACGACAAAAATAGAAAAAAATTTAAAAAAATCGAAAAAATTTCGCTTACTTTCGTCGGTTCCAATTGGCCCAAAAGAGGTGTTTGAGGACGGCGGCCTGCCCATTGTCACAGGATCTGGCCCGAGCGAACGGATTATTAAATGACATGCCCTCTGAAGAGTAATATCTTTAGTATGAAACAACCAACTTTTCGGCCGAAATTAGCATACAAAAAACGACTTTTTTGAATGCAAAAACTCGGTAAATTAGCGGATAATGAGTTGATTTTCAAGTGGTTTGTTAATCGAATTTCCTTGGCCGAGGGGGAAACTAAATTTAGCGGGAAGTTAAATTGAGAATTTCAATTCTGTTTTGGATAAAAATTTCTATTTTCGGATACAAAATTTGAAAAAAAAATTTCGTATGTAAGATTTAAAAAAATATACGCAAAAAGATTCCCCACAAAAAGAACGGGCGCGCTTTTGAAATCGGAGTTTTTTCACCTGGAGATTGAGGTATTTTGCCACATTTTTTGATACTCCCCGGATGCAGAATGATACGTTTTTTACCACTGGGTCAGGTCCGGTCACTGTAGTACTCTCCCCCCTCTTCTCATCAAACGCCTTCCTAAAATACACAAACATGAGATTATTTCTGGGAATCAACATGTTCTCTGGCCTTAAATTCTATCATCCGTAATTTTTCGGCTGACACCCTCACCTTGTCCGCAAGTTCGGAGCAAAAATTTATAAGATAGATATCTTTTATTAGATATCTTTTTGCAATTTTACATCCAGAAATACATAGAATTCGTTTCCAAAACAGAATAAAAATTCTCAATTTAACGCAAAATGGGACGTTTTTTGCCACTGGATCAAGTCCGGCACTGTAGTCGAAAAAAGCTTGTTATACGTCGCGGCGGATTTTGGATTGTACGACTAATACTTCGCCGATAAGGGAGTATCAGTCTGTCGGGAAAATAATGTGGATTTGTCGCAGCAAAATCCCAGCCACTCGTGGCATAGCGATTCCAAGACGCGAGAAATCCACATTATTTTCCCGACAGACTGATATGTACATACATATAGAACATTAAGTAACAGCTAAGAAAAAACGAAAAATTTCCGTTCCGCTGGGCAATAGTAATTTCTAGGAGAACCATTACAAATCCTCCGATAAGATGTATTTATAACCATATTATATTAAAATCCACCTCCCTCTCCTCGCTTCCTAATCCGCCTTTCTTGCTGCAACCCAATCCCCTGCCCTCTTACTCAAAGACACCCCAAGTTTGGGGCTCTCAGGTTACTTTCAGAACGAGTAATAAGATGAATGTAATAACAACACAACGCAAAATATTTTATGGACAACATATATACCTATCAGAATAGGAATATTTCCAACCGTTTCAGCTAATTGGAGGGGTCGCACGTAAAATGCCGTAGGCAAGATGGCTCTATAAATAAAATCCAATTTGGCTATAAATGTTATAGCTCGTCATTCGGTGAATAATTCATGAAATTGAATTAATTGCACAAAGGCAAGTCCCGGAGGAGGCCGAAAATTGCACAAAGATAACGATGAGTGGGTTAAAAGGGGAAAGTCCTTTCAACTGGAGGCCAAAAAAGCAAGGGCAAGGTCAGATAACAGGCCTATGTGGCTGAGACTATTATAGAATTTTCATAAAGTGCATGGACACTTTACAGTGAAGGACCGATCCAGTGGCAAAAACGTACCATTCTGCATCCGGGAAGCATAAAAAATGTGGCAAAATGCTTCCTTCTCTAAGTGAAAAAAAACTTTGTTTTGAAATGCGCGTCCTTTCTCTCACAAAAATAGCGGGCGCGCTTTTGAAATCGGAGTTTTCTCGCTTGGAGAGGGAAGCATTTTGCCACATTTTTTGATACTCCCCGGATACAGAATGATACGTTTTTGGCCACTGAATCAGGTCCCCCACTGTAGAAATTGCAACGCTTTTAGGCGTTGTTAGTTTAGACAACAAACTGAGAGAATGAAAACGAAAAGTTAGGAGATTGATGCTTTGATTGACTCTGTAAAGTACAAACTAATAACTTCAGTAATTACTGCATGACCTCTCTAGTGTACGCAGTAATGTTTTAAGAATCAAAGACCTCCTCTTGCGGGTAATGAGTCCGGATTATCAACATGTTTAAAAAAAGTATCCGGCCTCGAACGGCCCAGCTTTTATTTGTTTGCTTGGCGGATGCTCGGCGAAGGCTCGGCGGAGACTTGGCGCAGAATTAGAATACGGATTTTGATGCCGAAGGACACTGTTGGTCGCGGCAAAGGTCCTGGTGGCGGGCCCACACTTGCGGGCAACCATTTTGCGGGCAGCTAATGAATGCTTGTCCTTGTAAGGCATACCATGAGCTATTCATTATAAGTTTATTGATTACTCGAGAACTTCTTAAAGAGAATGATAATGATACCTAAACAGGGTCGATGACAAATTACATGATACAATAAAAGGGGAACAGTAAAATACAATAAGTCATTTACTAGGCCTACTCCAGATAGAGGGGCGCCTCGGTTCGACGTCGCAGACACTTGCGGGCAACCCCTTTGCGGGCAGCCGACATTTTTTGATTAGAATTACGATTTCCCTCGCGTAATCTACGTAGTACGATATAAATCTATTAAATTCATCCACTGCTTTCAAAGTTATACGAGCTTGTTTTCAAAAACGGTTAAAAATGCCTGGATAAGCTTATGGCAACTATTCAAGCCACTTATACACCTGGAAACTTAATCCGCACCATCTAATGCCAAATTCATTGTTCGAATTTTTTGTTGTAAGCAAATTTTGGCTGATTTCAAAAGATGTCCGCAGAATCTCCGTGGTTTTTCAAGCTGCCCGCAAAGTGGTTGCCCGCAAGTGTGGACCCGACCTCGGTTCTCCCGAACCTCCATTCTCCTTGACTCCCAAATCAACTCACTAATTCTCATCAAGGGTAGCTACGACCATCTTGAGTAGGGGCGTGTCTATATGATATGTCGCGCTGCTATTGGGCGCATACAACTCGGGCAGCTAGAAGAACCGCAGAGATTTTGCCGGCATAGCTGGGAATTTGCCAACATTTGCTTACAACAGGAAATTCAGACGATGGATTCGACCGTTCGATGTTGCGAGTTTAGTTTCCTGGCGCATAAGTGGCTTGAAGAGTTACTATAAAGTTAACCATGCATTTTTACCATTTTTTTTAAACAAACAACTATAACTTTGAAAGCGGTGGATGAATTCAATAGATTCGTGTACTGGCCAGTAGCAAGGAGTTGTGAATGAAAAATTTCTCTCATGCGGGAGGAAAATCGTAATTCTAATCGAAAAATGACGGCTGCCCACAAGCGAAGGGGAAAAAATGTCCGGGCAGTTTATGAAAATGCTAATAATCCACTTCATGCAGTTGGACATCCATCTTGAACACTCTTGCACTATCAAAAACAATGTTGATTTAACAAAAGAGCTCACTCGAAATACGAACAGACAATGCGAAAGAGCATGTTTTCTTTGGCGGCACTGCTTAACGCTTACAAGTTTTTTAGATCTCTGAGCTTTGCTCCCTTTACGATAAAAACTGTAAGTGGAGCAAAAACTAAAGGGGTCTGTTTCCAAATATGTACACTCGAAAATCTGTACTATGAAACGCAAGAGGCCAAAAAATTATTAATTCGTCATTTTTCAGTTTGTCGGGAAAATAATGAGCAAGTATTTTAGGCTTTTTGGCCTAGTCTTTTGGCATCAACATCCAAAAATTATTTCCGTTTGAAAAGTTCAATTTTGAAATTTCGACTCAAACCACCAAAATACCTCATTACGATTCAAAAAACTTTCAATTCAAATGCTGGATTAGACCTAATCTCCCATATCAAAGGGGTGTTTACGACCCAAATTCGTTCGAGTTTAATAATTCCGCCCGGAAACGTGATATTTCCGCGTTGATGTACATGTACTATAAGATAAAATATGTAAGGAATAAAACTCGCCATAAGATGAAAAATGATGACAAAAAGTTCAAATTGAGTTAAACATAAGGCTAGAATTTTAATAGGGAAGTTGACCAATCTGACCGGTCAGATTGGGCAGATTGGGCATCTTGGGCAGCCTGACCGCTCAGATTTAACCTAAAATAGCTAGTTTTCATCTTAACAAGACGGTTTAACTCAACCTGACCGGTCACATGGGCATCTTGGGCATCTTGCCCGGTAAGATTGGGCACCTTGGAAAGCTTGGCGAGCCAGATTGACCTGTCAAATTTAACGTAAAATCAATAGTTTTCGTCTTAATAAGGCCGTTAGGCCTCAATCTGGGCATATTGGGCATCTTGAACAACCAAATTTACCAATCAGATTTAGCCTAAAATCGCTAATTTTCATCTCAAAAAGTCCGTTAGGCCCTACCTGACCGGTCAGGTAGTTTACTTGTACTCACAATAATATAAAAATAAAAGTTACGGCTCCATATTTTATGGAGTAAGCTTTGCACGGCAACCCGAAATAGAAGAAAAATGTTTCCCGCCCAGTTTTGAGTTTCGTCCAAACGAAGTGTCAAAATTGACAAAAGAAATAAAATAATTCCGAGAAAAATATTTTTCGGTCGGAAAATCCCACGAAAAATTCTTTTGTGACATTTTGTTTGATTTCAACCGATACAAAATGGGCGAAGTGTCGAAAGGAGCCAGGAAACACTTCGGGTTGCCGTGCTTTGGTCTTCTCCATGCGACAATAACTCAGGAAAACTAGGGTTAGCAATAAAATGACAGACTTGATCCAGTGGCAAAAACGTACCATTTTGTATCCGGGAAGTATCAAAAAATGTAGCGAAATGCCTGCCTCTCCAATTGAAAAAGCTTCGATTTCAAAAGTTCGCCCGCTCTTTTTGTGAGAGACCTTCAAAACGGAGTTTTTTCAGTTGGAGATGGAGGCATTTTGCCACATTTTTTGATACTTCCCGGATGCAAAATGCTACGGCTTTTGCCACTAGATCAGATCCGGCACTGTAGTTCTATTTCTCGTATGCAATTCTGGATGCAACATTGTGCTCATTAGCCCCCAACAGACTGATATATGTTGTCGCATAGCAAAGACCTGGGGGATGTTTCACGTACAAAAAGGGCACTAACTCGAGTTAGAGGCATCACAGAAAAAGCGGAGAGAACAGAGAAAAAGACGAGTGGTAACTCGAGTGACCTGACTTTTTCTCGACTTTGTCCGCACATTTTGGGCCATAACTTTTGATACAGTGGACCAATTTGCGCCCTTCCAAAAAAATATTAATGCTGGTGGTACACAGAATACGCGGATATAAATTTGTAAAATTTTCTTCTAAATTATGCAAATTATATGCAAATTTTTTTCTTGGTATCTTGAAGCTCGTCTTTTATTGTCCATATAAAATCTTTATACGGACGTGTTTGTTACGCTTTCAGCATCAAAGGGTTTTTTGAAGGGTGTAAATTGGTATACTGTATCAGGAGTAAATACTGTCTTCACGCGCTCCCACAGGTTTCAACGAACTTTGTATGTCTCCGCCGGGCCTTCGCCGAGCATCCGCCGAGCATTCAACTTTCATAGACCTCATAGGCATCTCCTACCACCTTTCTTTACCTGTCCTACACCTCGTATCAATCGATTTTGTGTTGACCCGAAGTGTCGTCGACCCGAAAGCGCCGGGACGCGAGATTTTCCACACCCAAATTTTGGTCCCAAAATTTCCAATTAAAGCCTCTTCAACGGATGAGGCAATAAAATAGAAGCAAAAAATGGGTACATTGAGAATGTAAATGAAGGTTCAAAAATTAGGACTTGTCACGTAAAAGTGCGATGTTCGAAAATACATTTAGCGCGTGTGCGAAAGTACATAGGTCAAAAAAGAGACAATTACAAGATAATGTTGGGCAAATTGAAGCGGATAAAAAGGAGGAAGTTGGAGTTCGAAAATCTTGATAAGAAGGGCATGTTTCGCCAAAAAAAGCGAAATGCCCTAAGGACAATTGACAGATTCTTTTCAAATTTTAAGTGCACACTCTATCAGTGTGTCGGGAGAATAATGCGGATTTTTCGCCGTAAAATTTCTCGTCGCAGTCGCGCATCAAATCTCTAGCCGTCGCAGAGCGATCATCGGCGGTTCCGAGACGCGACAACTCCACATTATTTTCCCGACAAACCAATACTTCTCCTGTCAGCAAAAAATCCACATTACTTTCCCGACAGACTAATCAATCGGCCACTGACTCGTTTCTCATTGTCATAAGTTTGTCGGGAAAATAATGTGGATTTGTCGCAGGAAAATGTCTCGCCTCGTCGCAGCACCAAATACCCAGCTGTAGCCAGTGGTCGCGAAGCGATGAAGGGCGATTCCAAGGTCCACATTATTTTCCCGACAGACAGATAAAGGCGACTGTAACCCGATTTCCTGTGACAAATCCAGATTACTTTCCCGACAAATTTCTGACAATGAGAAACGAGTTAGTGGCCGATTTATCAGTCTGTCGGAAAAATAATATGAATATGTTGCAACAAATTTTCGCTATCACGCACCAAAACTGCAGCCGGGCTAGAAGGAGATTTCAAGGCCCGACAAATCCGCATTATTTTCCCGACAGACTGATGTTGTGTTACAGCCGCCATTTTCAGTCTGTCGGGAAAATAATGTGGATTTGTTGCGTTGTGGAATCGTCCATCATCGCTTTGCGATGGCTAGCTGCAGCTGGAGGTTTGATGCCTGCGACAAGACGAAGCATTTTGCTGCGACAAATCCACATTATTTTCCCGACAAACTTCTGACAATGAGAAACGATTAGTGGCCTATTTACCAGTCTGTCGGAAAAATAATGCAATCTTTTTTTTGACAAGACGAAGCATTTTGCCGCGACAAATCCATATTATTTTCCCGACAGACTAATATTTAATAACCCTAATCTTTTTCGTATTTTACATTTTTTTCATTCGAATCCTCCTACAAATTTCAATTTTCAACACCACCAACTGCCTCTTGAAACAAAACAAAAACAAGAACCCCCGGAAACATGAGCAATACCGTCGACTACACCCCGACAAGACATCAAATATCCCTCTCTGTGTACACACTCCCCAAAACTTTTTTCGTTTTCTCGGTTTAGAGCCCTGAAGCGATGAAACGAAAACGTGCACGCGTCACTTCATTCACGGGATCAGATAGTGCCGAAAAGAGAAAAGAAAAACGAAATTCCAGACCCAAAAATGGTCATACTCTCCGTTTTTGTCGAACATCCAAGCAGTTTCCCCTCAAAAAACAAGATAATAACCCTCCCCGACGAAGCCGAGAAGGTTGCGGTTTCGGGTAAAAGCATCAGGAATGAGCCATTTTTTATTCCGAGCGAGTTG